GCTCTCAGGATCGCGCTGTCTCCTGGCATGGCCGCTCCAGACCCGTCGCCATCTTGGACCTCCTCTAAGAAAATCTTTTATAAGTGTTTAGAAATTACAGAGTCAGTGCTGGAAATGGCCTCAAAGATTGTCTTGTCCAGGCACCTCAGTTAGAAAATGGAATTGTCTGGGCCGAGCCAGTGGCGCACTCGGGAGAGTGTGGTGCTGGGAGCACAGCGACACTATGAATATTTTCTGACGGCATTATTATTTTACATCAGAGCTCACAAACTCTAATGCTGACAGGAGCCAGTCAAGTAATATTAATCAGCAGGCTTGATGTAGCATGATTAGCAGTAGAGGGGATTGTGTCATACTGGAGAAGGCATGCCCTGTCTAAGTATCACCCCTTGTTAATTCCAGCCAATAGCTGTCCTTTGGGAATGTGGGCCTGGTGTTGTCAAATACTCCAATTTTTAAAAGAAGAATCAGAAATTTAGATTTTTTATGTGAAATATCCTGATGTTGACGTGTGCTATTTCTGACATAATCAATCTTCTTTTGGAGGGTATGTGGTTTTTAATTTGTCCTAGCTTTCAATACTATAAACCTGAGATCAACATCTTTATATATAATTTTTTTTGTCATCTGATTATTTCTTCAGGATAGTTCCTGGGAGGAGAATTACGGGGACAATGAAGTGCATATTTTAAAGACATATATGTATTTTGCCAGAATGCTCTTTGAGATTCTTCCAGATCATGAATGTTTCTTCTTTCATGTCTTTGCTAATTTGATGGTCAGCAAAACGATATCTTACTGTTTTATTGCATTTACTTCAGTATCACAGAAAAGGAATCAACAACATTGAGTTTTCCTGACTAACCTGTCACATATCTATTTAGTCCATCAATGATCAATTAAATTAATTAAACATCTGCGTACAAGGCATTGTTCCATGTACTGCGGAAGACACAAGTGTTCAATTTTGTGTCATTTGTGTTCCTCTCCCCGTCATGTCCCTCCCCTGCTTCCCCAGGCTTCCCACCCCCACCTACTTCTTGAAAACATGTACTGCGGAAGACACAAGTGTTCAATTTTGTGTCATTTGTGTTCTACTCCCCGTCATGTCCCTCCCCTGCTTCCCCAGGCTTCCCACCCCCACCTACTTCTTGAAAAAAAAAATCACAAACTCCTTGAGTGTGAAAACAGTGCTTTAGTTTATGTTGCAATCCCAGTAGAATCTACTGTATTTTTAACCTATACTGTCTTTGGGATATTGGTGAGTTTTATCACTTTATTACTCATTAAATCGAGATGTGCTTTCTTTTATTCACCTGCTAATTTATCTATCTGGATTTTCATATATCACTTTGGTCAAAAGTGAGGTATACCTCTATTAGTACTCTATCAATATTTAAAAGTGATAATGATAGCCAACTCACTTGTCATAAGTAATACTCCTGGAATTTGGAGAGAAAAAGAGAATCTTGGAATAAATTAAATCATGTGTACTATGGTCAAAAATATTTTTCTGCATAACATGGAGTTAAGCATGTCTCAAACCCCTAAAAAGTTACTTTCTTAAGAAATATTTACTCTATCAAGTTATATTACAAAATAATGTTTTATATAACCATGCAATTACTGTATTCTTGGTGAGAGCCAGTAGAATGTTTTATGAATCTGAGACATAAATACATGTTCTTCGTCTAAGAGTAGGTACCTCCAAGGGGGTGATGACAATGAACTTTTGTGTTTTTAGAGGCAGTGATTTAGTAAGCTGGTGTGAACAAACTGCAGGAAGAGTTCCTGAGACCGTGCATGAGTATGCAAGTGGGAATGAGTGGGATCCCACCTGGGCAATTTAAGACTTTCTCTTCTTTAAAACAGGATTGAAAAAGACCTACCTTATAACAACTCAGAGGATTGAATGAGCTACTATACTTCACTAATCCCAAGATGCATTGTGGCTTTTTGTTGTTGTTGTTGTTTTAACATCTCTAAAATAGTGACATGCCTTAAAATTGTCAGCATCTGGATCCTGCCAACTGTCCAGCATCTGGATCCTGCCAACAACCTGAAAGAGCTTGGAAGCAGATTCTTCCCTAGATCCTCCAGATGAGAACACAGGTCTGCCGATATCTTGGGTTTAGCCTTGTAAGACCCTAAACAGAGAGCCCAGCCAAGCCCATCCAGACCTCTGACTTGCCAAACTGTGAGATAAGAAGTGGGTGTTGCTTAAAGCTAAGTCTGTGGTCATCTGTGACACAGTAATAGAAAACTAATACAGCTGTGCTCAATTTTTTTGAGAACAAGGCAGACAAGTGTCAAGCCGACAGCAGAGGTTTAGACCTTCACTCTCTTGCCCTTGCTGTGCTGTAAACTCTCAGAGGCAGGTATTGGGTCTAATTTGCTCATTCTTGTACCTCAGCACCTAGTACGTGGTACTTAATATGTACTAGTTGAATATTTAAAATTGTCATGTGCAAAGATTTATCTACCAGGATGCTTCTTACAGCAACAGCAATAAAACACTGCAGAAAAGTTTTATCCAAGAATAATTGGAGTATTTAATAGTATATGCATAAGATAAAATATTATGCTTCCTTTTAAATAGTGTGAAAAACAATTTAATGACAATAAATTATTCACAATATATTTAAAAGCAAGTTACAAAAAATGGAAATGTGTGTGCACACACAGAAAAGAACTCGAAAAGTGATATACCAATATATAAAATATATAAATATATAACATATAAACATAAATATAAAGAATAATAATATATAAAATATAAATATGTAAATATATAAAAATGTTAAGTAGTAAGGTTATGGGCAATTTATATTTTCTTCTTTCTAATTTTTTGGTGGGGGCTGCCTTCAAAAAATTCTGTTATAAACATCAATAAATTCTGTGATCAAAAAATAATTAGCATAGGAGGTAGACAGAAATCCATTTAAGAAACAATTTATAATAGAAACTGGAGAATAGGCCTCACCTTGAGTAGCTCAACTCCACTGTCCTGGGCATTCTCAGATTGTTCTTGAATTTGCTTTTGAAGGTGGAGAACTTGGCCCTCCATGTATCTAGTTATTCCTTCGTAGTAAAAAACTGTTGGGGTTCTTCTTGGCACTAGATTTTTAGCTCTATTGGAAAATATGTAATAGTTGTCCCATTCCTGAAGTCGGGCATACCTGCACCAACACAGAAGAATAAGAAAAATAAATATCTCTCTTGGAATGTGCTGATTTTCTGGAATGGATTCCTCTGATGTGTAGCTTCAATTACCTGGGCCTCTGAAAGTCTGCCTCCTATCGACTCTCCCTAAAAATGCAGGAAATTATGTGACAGGGAGCAAGGAAAGAATAGAACTTTTTCATGATTTGAGATGAAAAGAATCCTTGGGAACAACTAGGCAATATTAGATACCATTTATTTAACTCTTTGGACTCTTTAAAAAGTGAGGTCAATCAAACACTTGGAGCTACAAATTCTGCAACCTTAAGAAATTGCTCCGATTCCAAAGAGAAAAGGCTTAGGCCAGTACTACTCAAAGTGTGGTCCACAGATTTGCATCATGAGTATCACCTGGGTTCTCTTTATAAGCAATTTTCTGTTCCAACCCAGATCTACTGAATCAGACAGACTCTGCAGGTGTGGCCAGGAATCCTCTTAGTTAACAAGAAAGCACTCCAGATGATTCTTGTGTTTGTGGAAGTGTGGGAAGCATTGGCCTAGGACACAGCTTTTGAAAGAACTCTCCAGCTGAGATGAGGAAGAATAAGAAATTAGGATAATTTTTGGACTTTAGATTTCTTGAATTTTAACTCACGTGGGCAAGTTAATTTGCTCTGAACTTTAACTGGCAAGGGTAATTCGTCTGGGGACGTTAATTTCTCCCAAGTAAGTTTATAATAAGAGGGTCTCTCTATTTAAATTTAGAGCTACTCTAATTTGTGGCATTTTATATAGGAATGTCTTCATATTGTTATTTAATCTAATCACAAAACCTCTGATGGACCACATTGGACAACATGGCTGCATATAATTTGAGATGGGAAATAGAAGAGAGGGTGATTTTCAGTCTTGGAGATAGTAATGAAAGTAATTTAATTAATGTTCTATTCTGACCCATTTTGGAGCCTTACTGTTCAACTCCTTCCTTGAGAGAGTATGGCCATAGCTACAGGCTTACTAGGTTAAAAACTTAGTAGGTTAAAGGGATGAAGCCTCAGGGTTAAAGCTCAGTACCTATCTTCCTCCTTCATCCTGAAGGCCAGTGAAGCTGACAGAGAGCATGGGACTAATCTCTCTGCCTGTGGTAGAAAGAGGCCTGCCTCGATGCGGGGAGAGCTGCAGTTTTTCAGAATTGCCTGCTGCTGAGTGGGTAAGTCTAATCTTGGGGCTCAATATTAGGAAACTCACTTGCCTGCAGACATAAGCCATATCTCCTCCAACATCGGCTTTATCAACAATTACTCCATGTGATTAGATCTGGGTGGCTGTGGGTGGGCAAGTGATGCTATTTATTAGTTTCCCTCAAACCCCAACACTCCCCAGAAGCAAGTAATCTTTTCTTATTTATTCCAGTATTATCACAACATGATTCGTATGTAATAAAGTTTCATTACATTGAATACAATTGAGACAACATCACTTTTCTGACCTCAGTTGAGGGGGATGAACTAGGTGATCCCTAAAGTGGCTTTCAGTATAAATATTGTCTGACATCTTTCAGCTGTCTAAGGTGTAAATTATGAGTTGTTTTCTTTCTTTTAAAAAAAATTATAAAACTCTTATTCAGGACTCAGCATTTTCACTTTAGGAATTTAGTGACATGCAACACATTGTTACCAGATTGCTGTACACGAATAAAGTCCCAGGAGGATTCCACTTTGGAACTTGAGGATTCTGTTGTCTTCATTTTGGTATATGAATTCCAAACATTCTTCAAATGTTCGATAAACAAAGCCTAAAAAGAGAGAAACAGGAGAGCTTTGCTCTTTGGTGGTGGGTGGTCATCTTTCTGGCCTAGTTGGTCTCTGATTACTTTATGAATCCAAAGGGTCCGGTAGATTGCAACAACCACGTGCCTGCATTGCTCTGTGTTTGCTGAGTCCCAGCTATCATGGAATGTTGGGCATCTGAAATACAGTTCCACAGTATAGACCAGGCAGGAGTGGGGTTTAAAACAACCCTTGCTGGCCCAAGTGCAAGGAGTAAGGCCTTCATGCAGCCTAGGACTTCTCTATTGCCCTTGCTTCCCTTGTTGGCAGCAATGTCTGCACCCCCTTTATTGGGTGGGAAAAACAATCCCCAGGTTGTTCCCTCCAGTTTAATATGTGCACTGAGGGCTGTCTACTTGTTGTCACTTGAAGATTATCAGGAAAGAATTTATTTTCCAAATCACCAGCAGCTACCAATGTCTGGAACTCTCACCATTAGCAATCATTCTATTGCATGAAGTCTCTAAATATATCCTGCTAAAAATTAAATACCCTCAGTAGAAGACTTATAGTAAGACAATGTCAGTCACTATCACTTATGTGTAAATTGATCTGACAGTTTAACTGGCAGCTTGTACCCAAGGTTCCTCTGGACTTAATTCTCCTTCTTGCTGTTGCCTTACCATCTAGGCACATGATACACCAGCTCACACCAGCAGGCTCTCTCCATTCCTGTCCTATAAGTTTACACATCCAGAAACCTAATGGCCTCAAAGCCCTGGCCCTGACAGCTGCCACACCACACCAGCATAGGTGTCACACCCCCAATTTCTTTTAAATTCCAAAGTCACACTTACCAGAATAAAGCATGATGTCCAAGCAGACAAAATAGAAAAATGCCTTGCTGAGGATGTGCTCTTCTGATACAGAAAGATCCCACAGCCACTCTAGCACCTTGATCAATTTCTTGTATCTATGGGAAAAAAAAAACAAAAAAAAACAGGTGGTGGAATTAAAAAGTGATGGAGAGGAGATGGTCTAGTCTTGGTCTTGCCCAGTAATTCAAAACCAAGTACAACCTTAAACAGACTTCAAGACCACCCCTACTCACAGCTAAAACCTAAATATCAAACTGGCTCTTTTTTCAAACTGTTCTTTCATGTGTCCTCTACATCCGGGTGACCAGAGTCAGGCCAAATTGGCCTGGACCACTAGTCCTGGTTGCTATTCTCTGGGAATTGGCCTTCCTATAAGACTTTTCCCTTTCCCTCCCCTTCAAAGGGGTGGAGATCTGATTCCCATTGTGGAGATGAGTGACCAGATCAGAGACAATGCACGTGAAAGAATTCTGTTAAAAGAGTAGTGGTATGCAAAGGTAAAGATGATTATTATCAGTTCCAGGATCTTACTGTAAACCACACTCTCTTCACCACCCGGTAGCCAGGGCAAAGTGAGCTCAGAACACTCAATAACGTGGCTTCTTCCCCCAACTTTGGAAAATGCTTTAAGATAAATACCTGCTTTTCAAGAAGAGAGATCTACTAAGTCTGCAGAGGACTCGATAGTGTTTGTTGGGATTCTGGAGCAGTGCCCACATCTTGTGGGCTCGAGAGCCTGGAAAGAAAAAATTTCCATTGTATTTGGGGGCATTACTTTGTATCTCCATGTCCCGTCTTGCCCAGCCAGCTCTTACCTAGCTCAATGGCCAAGTCCAGGTGACCCGTTACGAGCTTGATGTAGCCCAGTGTATCAGCCATGTATGCCACGATTTCAATGCCCTCACCTTGCAGGGGGAGGTCGATGATCTTCTCCATGGCCATGAGTTCATATTTGAACCACACACCCTTGTAGCCAGCCAGCTGGTGGTATAGCGAATAGTCCAGGTAAGCCTTAATGATCTGAAATGGCAGCAGTGGAGGAGAGAAGGGGCAAGACTGAGGTGGAACCCGAAGCAGAAAGCCCAGGGACATCACCCAATGTCTGCCAGTGAACATCTGTTTATTAAGCTTGGGAACAGAGCTGGTCATTGGGCCAAAGCCATGGGCTTAGGTACAGAAATCAAACTGGTTTTCTGCCACCTATTTACTGAGTCATCCAGGATAAGCTCATGACCCCTCTTGCCCACAGAGTCCTTAAGCAAAATAAAGAAATTTTAATTTATGTGAAAAATAAAAGCAATAGCTTATATATGTGGATATATAATTGCACAGCAATAAGCCTGAAAGGATGCACTCCAAAGTGTAAACATTTGTTACCTATTTGATGGGGGTGGAGGGGGAGATTTGAGGGAGAAAGGGACTTTTCTTTTTACTTTATGCATTTCTGTGACTTTTAATGTGTTATGACAAGCACGTATTCCTTTTGTAATTTAACCAAAAAGGAATGTTGGATTCATTTGTTTGCTTCTTAAAACAAGTAAAGACTAGTTCTAAACCTAATTTGGAGATTTAAGAGAAGACAGTTACTCTTTAAACAGCTTTTTAAAATGATAATTAAAGTTGCTTAATAATATAAATGCTTAGAGAAGGGCGAGGAGAAAATAGTTCCTTCTAAAGAAGCAGTTTTATTTTATTTCTAAAAACAACAACAGAATATATGTAAACTGCTTTGAAAAATACAATCAGGAGAAATATAAAATCTCCAATGGTAGAAGTATTGAACATTTTGTATTGGGTAAAGGAGGCATTTTAAGATAGGAACATTTTTCCTGGCATTCATCAAATCACACAAAATAACAAGTCCACAAATTCTGTGTTAAAGGCAGGTTCCCATTATTTGTTAAACCACAAAGTCAGTCTTAGGGAATTCCTTTATTCCTGGTATGAAACATGCTTCAGATAATGCTACCAGAAGGGATGAATAGCCAGAAACAGTGGTAGAAAAAAGAGAATTGTTGAGCAAATGAAAAATCCAAAGGTGCAATAAAGCCTAGGACTTCTTGGATTTGGACCGAGAGAATGCAATACAACTGCTTCATTTTATGGGGAAAATATAAAGCTTAGAGGTTTTGTGGCTTGCCAGTGGTGACACCCAGACAGGTGGAGTCCTGGAAACCACTGTCTTGGTTTTCAGTCTGGATGTGTTGATTATCCTATGCTGAGTGCCTCTCTACTCTTAAACACCAAGGGAAGCACATCCCCTGCTGCTCTGCCCTCTTTGAAAATAAGTATCTTGATTTGCTTTCCAAATGTGACTTTTCCATTTTATCCTGCCCCACACCCCCAACTCCACCACAGTTTTTAGAAGATAGTCCGAAGTGTGGAGGAGAAGTAAAGGATTTCATGCAATAAATATTTGCTGAGCACCTGCTATGCGCCGGGTCAGTGCTCTGGGTGCTCAGGTTGTGAACAAGGCAGCAGACAAGATCCCTGCTCTTCCAGAGTTTACAGGCTAGTAAGGGAGACAGATCATGAACCAACCAAGGACAAACAAGAAAATGTCAAATGGTAGTAATAAGACCTACTAAGATAGGGTGATGGGTTAGAAAGTGAATGGGTGGCTACTTTAAATGAGGTGGTCCAGAAGGCCTCACTGAGGGGTGACATTTAAGCTGATAGAGTAAACCCAGTAAAGATCAGGAGATGGCCCCCGCGCTGGGAGGTCGCAGTGTGGTGGTCACTGGGCAGGGAGGGGTTGATGGCCCATCACTCCCCTGCTCTGGATCCCTGAGCTCTGCAGCGGGTGTCTGGCGGGACCTGGTGAACTCCAGCTGCAAGGAGGGCCAGGGGCCGGGAGGGGGAGAGTTTTCTGTACTTCGTATACTTTCGTCTATGACAGCAACCTGCCTATGGAAAGGACCCACCTCCAGAACCCCTCGGCCACGTTCTGCTGCGGGGGCCTGCCTGCAGGATTTTAAGCTTGACTTTGGCAATTCCCAAGGCAAAACAAGTCAAACTTGGCCTGGGAGGCAAGAAATGGTTAAAAGTGGAACATACATCATAATTGAAATTAAAGTTTCAACTAAGAAGGAAGAGAAATAACCTATTGATGTTATCTGATGACAAATTATGAGAGTACTCACCCATCAGCACAGTATAAAAAGGTTATTTGTCTTTTGTTTCTTTTGGGTTTTGGGGGGTTTTTTTTGGTGGCTGGCCAGTACCAGGATCTAAATAAAAAGGTTCTTTGCGTGGGTGCAAAAGAAAATAGTTCCCACTGAAATATCAAAAGAAGTTAAAAGCAGTAGAATCAAATGATGATTAAGGAAAGGTCTCAGAGGAAACTGAAGACATTATCAAAAGGGGGGAAACAAAAACTCATTAGAACATAACAATGTATCTAAGGATATTCTTATGTGCTAATATAAAATATTTTTAACGTTTGAGAACAGGGATCTGAGATATATCTGTGTTTATTTTCAACAATGCTTTGAAGAGATATTTTATTTGAGTGATTCCTTATTTTTAGACTATAAAAAGAAACTGGGGTAGGAGTTAGACATTAAAAAGGGGGACTCTGAGGCCCTGGAATGCATGACAAATGGATACAAGTACTCCTGAGAACTCTTTAAGCTCTTTTCTTGAGTTGATGTTAAGTGTCTTCTTGCTCTGTGGCTAAGGATAGATTTGCAGCCCACTTGATGATGGTGCTGGTGAATTGCTCTGCTCTGTCTGGGATTTTTAAAATGAGCTTAATAAGAGTAAACAAACTGCAGAGATAATTGATAATAAAATTTTGAAAACCTGGAAAGATGGTATACTGTTGCTAACGGAATAAATGTATTTGTAGTTTAACCTACTAAAACCTACTGTTTTCCCTACTAAAGTATGTTCATTATGTTGTTAGACTCAAATCATCACACACCCTGGGGCTGGTCTTGGCCACGTAGAGTCTATAATGGAGTACTGCACAGACTGGAGCCCAAACAGTCTGGGATCAAATGTCATTTCCTCCACTTTCTAACTGTGAGACTTTGGGTTATTTGATCCTGTGCCTCAGTTTCCTCACCTATAGAGTGTACTGGGGCTGGTCTTGGCCACGTAGAGTCTATAATGGAGTACTGCACAGACTGGAGCCCAAACAGTCTGGGATCAAATGTCATTTCCTCCATTTTCTAACTGTGAGACTTTGGGTTATTTGATCCTGTGCCTCAGTTTCCTCACCTATAGAGTGAGGATGATCAAAACACATATCTTAGGATTGCTTTGAGGATTAAATGAGTAAATAAATGTAATGAGCTTAGGACCTGGCACATAGTAAGTATTAGCAGTCATTATTGTTTTTATTGAAGACTTAAGTTTGTACAGGGCCATCCTTGGAACAGTATTTTAAAGTAAAAGAGTCAAGATTATGAAGGGAAAAATTTGAGAGGGGGTGGAGAGCTACAGTTTGATTCTTGGCTCATCAATAAACACTGACCTTAAATTTATTTACTGAATAAGTGGAGGAAAGGAGTCATGAATAAGGCAATACTAGTCATCAAAAAAAAAAAAAAAAGATTGGGAGATGAACACTCCAGGCAGAGGAAACATTCAGTGCAAAGATGAGACTGGACTTCTATGTCTGAGGAACCAAAAGAGGACCAACATGGCAGGGCTTTGTGGCTCCTTAGTGGCCCAGGGACCTAGGAGAGGAGAATGGAAACTAGGCAGGTACTCAATATTGATGGGCTTTGTAAATAATTTTGTACCCTGAGAAAGCCAGCCTAGGTCTACAGAAAGGAACTAATGCTGGGAACAGACCCTGGTTAGAAATTTAAGCTCCTCCAATATTTATGGTGCTGTTTGACCATTCCCCTTAATTCTTGATAACTACCGACTGCAAGAGGAAGTCACTGCCCCTGAAGAAACCCAGACTTGATGTACTTTTGTAAAGAAGCCAGGTCACTCTCATTAGGTGAATTGGATTTAGCTTAATAATCTCTTGATCTTGGCTCCTGGAGTCTTCCTCATCCAATCTAAGACTTCCCAGTTTATGAAACGGACTAGTTAGTGGTTCCCCCAATTGGTCCTGGGACTCCTAGGGGTTCCTGAGACCCTTTTAGAGAACACACGAGGTCAAAGCTCGTTCCATAATGTCAAGGCATTATTAATGTCAGGGAAAACAGAGAAAGACCTTGAAGTGAACCAAAACAAAAACCAATGAAGATTATCCCTACCTTTCACTGTCTTTGGGCCATTTTACAACTCTGTATGTTGTAGAAAACTGATAATAATGTAAATGATATGATTCTTTTTCATATAAATGTAAATGTTTGGTGAAATACAAGTGATTATTGCCCTTTGACTAAACTAGGTTTGTATCCACTTGTAAACTGAATTCTCCTTGGAACCAGTTGTAACATCTTAACTAGTTCTCTCATTGAGTTAACTCAGTGAGTTAAATAAAATATTTGACAGGTGTTCTTTTTATATTAGTATGAATTATGATTCTTTTTTTTTTTTTTTTTGATGGCTGGCCAGTATGGGAATCTGAACTTTTGACCTTGGAGATACAACACCACACTCAAACCAACTGAGCTAACTGGCCAGCCCTTGATTCTATTTTTTGTTTAAGGAATTATCGTTTAACATGATCCCTTTTCACCCCCTTTCTCTCATGAGTATACAATGAGTTGTCAGAGGCAGCATATGTGATATTCCAACAAAGTGAAGGTTGAAGCAGGTGTGAGAATCTAGTCGCCTTCTCTGAAACCAGATATTAAGATATTTGCAAAAATTTCATACAATGCCACACATTAAATTTCTTCTTTGGGGACATATAGTTTTTTTTTTAAATGAAAATGTTAAGTATGGTAATATATAATGGGTTCATTATTTTTATTTTAAAAGAAATACTTTAAAATTATTTCAGTTATTGTTTCTTATATGATATTATTAATAGATACAACCCATATAAATAAAAGCTATTTGGAATCCTCAATAATTTTTAAGAGCATGAACTGCAAAGCAATCCAGTCAGAAAGGCTTTTATTATATTCTCATGATTCTGAACCCCGATTGGCTACTAGGCTTTTCTCTTCAAATGAGATTCAGAAATTTACAGAGAAGCTACAAAAAGACCCTACCTGGAAATCATTTTGAGTTTCCAGTGCAGTGTTCACTTGCATCAAAGCTGCCAGGTGGCCGAAATACTTGTGGTGAAAAAAATAATTGAAGCTGTAGATCTGCCACAGCAAGGAGAAGCAGACGCTCTGGCGGTAAAGTTGTGCCAGCCGCTTCTTCCTATCAGATAAAGTAAACACAAATGGAACACAGAAAGAAGGTACAATCGTCAGCATGCTTTAGGGGAGCACAGGTTTCACAGTATCCTCACTTGGGAGTCAAGACTGACATGAATTTGAGGCCTGCCTCCATTACTTACTGACAAGCACAATAATTTTTACGAAGCACATTTTCTCCATTGTAAAATGGTGACCATAATACCTACTTGGTGATGATGAAGATAATTTATGTAAAGTACCTGTCCCTTGTCAGGTAATTGCTAGTTCAGTGAAGCTATTTGAAAAGCACATTGATATCACTTATCCTATTTGATTGGGATGATAACTCTGTAAGAAAGGAAGAAATAATTGACCCCATTTTACAAATGGGGACGGCAAGATTCAGACAGGTTAAGTAATTAACTCAAAGTCACATCTCCAACTGAAAACAAACTCCAACTGTTTCATTAATGGAATGTTAAGAAAAAAAGTATGACAGGCCATGAGAACGGGAAGCCTTTCATAACAAGACTAATTCAACCTTCCCAAAATACTGCCTACAGCCCAGCCAGTCCAAGCTATTATTTCCTCCACAGCACATTGCTGTTAGGAAGTAGGTCTCCACTCAACAAAGAAAATGAGCATTTTTAACAATGTCGCAGAAGGTGGTGAATATCCAGTGCTGGAGGTATTCAAGGGCAGGATGAATGACCTTCCACAAAGAATGCTGAGGTTCCTTCCCATTTCCCGGCTGGACAGGCCACATAAGTGTTAATGCAGCCAAAAATCCTCTATGTATGTAACAAAAACGGTAGCCTCAACGAGATAGCTGCAATATTAGCCAGCTTAACAAAACCAAGAAAACAAAATATAATTAGAAATATTTTTCAAAAGGCAGATTGTAAATCAAGATGAGAAGGAAGAAGAAAAGAGACATTGTAGAGAGGCTAAATAAGAATTCCAGGTACTTTTCTGTTGTGGAAATTATTTTTTAAAGGTTCTAAGAACTACGGGCCATGTATAATATACAACATAATATAATAGGACATTTGTTAGGATCCTGGACACTCTGGCATGACATGTTGCTTCTTACTGTCCTCATTTTTGAGATAAGAACCTTTTGACTGGTGGGTGTGTTAAGCCAACAGCTCTGCAGTTTTTTCCTCTTCAACACTTTTCACCTTTTCCCTTTGTGCAGGTATTTCTCATTCCTTTTATAAAATGTGGTTGCAAACTAAGGTTATCCAATTTAGCAAATGAAAATTCAGGATGCCTAGTTACATTTGAATTTAAAAACAAGTAATTTTTTTTGAGAAGTCATATGTCCTAAATATTGCATGTGACATATGTATATTAAAAATTATTGTCTCTCTAAAATTAAAATTTAACTAGGCATCCTGTATTTTATCTGGCAACCTTATATGCAACCCAAAGACCACTTCCTTCTTACCTCTCAGACAGACCTCTGCTGAACTTCCCCCACCCCTCCCTCCTGGTGTCTCCAGGAGCAGCCAGGTATTCCCAGGAACCTCCTTTCAACCTGCAAAGAAGCTCAGCTCCATCTCATCTCCTTTCCACCTCAGTATCCCCCACATTTAATGGAACACTTTTGGGAGCTAGGAAAGGCAGTTTTTGATAGGATTGTAAAAGAGTTATAGCAACTTGCTCATAGGAATAGATATTTGTATCTTAGGCAGAACCTGTAGGAATATTGCTACTGACCTCTCCTTACATAGAAGAGACGGTCTTTTCAACTCTCCAGATCCCCAGCAAGGTGGAATCCCCCTTGGTATGAATTGCTACATAGGTGGACTATTTTTTAAAACTTTTATTATGGAAAAGTTCAAGCATACATGGAGCAAACTAAAGAGTTGTATCCAAACCTAGCTTCAGCGACTACTAACATTCTTATTTCGTCTACCTCTCCACTCATTGTTTCTCCTAACCCTTGTTATTTTTTATAGTTCTTTTATAGATAAAAGTTACCTACACTGAAATGCACAAATCTCAAAGTTTTGACCAATGGATACCCCCATGTAATCCACATCCATAGGAGATGCATAGATGGATGGGGAATTTTGTCCTTTGGCAGATGTCTTTGGGGTCTGCTATTTTTCTTTGGGCAGTGAACTTAAGCTAAGACACCCACTGTCTTAGCACTGCATGGAAGAGGTCTTGTGACTGAGGTTCCAGGAGCAGAGGTGAGGGTTCCTATTGGAACATGGATGGCCAGGGATGTCAGTGGACTAGATGAGTAGGGAGGGGTGCTGGAGCTCACCTTGCAAAGGGGTCACTCATTTTTTTGTCATCTGAACTTCCTTTGACAAAAGCTGCCTGTGAAGTGCTCTGGGGCAATCCAGCCCTGGCCTGGGAGCACCCCCCACGCTTGCCCCCTCCCCCACCAGTGAGTAGTCAGAGCCAAGCAGGAGTCCTGCACCCCCTTGAGACTGAGGCCTGGGCTTTGAGGGCTGAGTTGGATTAGGTGTAGGTCTCTCTCCTCTGCGGAGTGAGATGAGACACAGCTTTCCCCATCTCCTTCCCTTACCCTGGAGGTGAACTCTCTTTGGCCTGCTGCTTCAAATAAGAAAAATGTCTGTTTTTCTCAACATGGGTATGGAAGCTCAGGGACATTAAGTTGTAAGGAAAGACTCGGTCGAGGAGCTTCAGGGCCTTCCTCAGCATTTTCTTGGCAAGCACCATCTGGCCCATATTGAAACAGACCTATAGGGAGGTGGGAGGGGAAGAGAGGAAAGAGGGAAAAAATTATTCTGGACTTAGCTGGTAGCTTCCAACAATACATATTTGGGGGATTCTTAGTTGAAGAGGTAATTTGTGGCCCAGAAACAAAATCCTGTGCCTGGCATACTAGTAAATGTTTATTGAATGTGTGCATGAAGGATGGTTGAATGACAAGGATTTAGCATCTTGGTTGTGCACCATCTACATCTGAGAAAATGTTTACCCATTTGTGTCCATTTTTAGAGGTTGTTACAAAAATATTTCATAAAGATGTCAACTTGGGGGACAGGGAAGATTTGCTGCTGGTAAGCAATCGTGAGGAGTTTTGAGTCCGGGGGCTTGGGGTTCTAGAGTCTTGGATAGGAATCCGTGGTGGAGGCTGGGAAGAGAATGTAGCAAGTATAGGAATGATTTCTGCTTCTGTGGAAAGGCCTCAAGCAAATAACAGATTAATTTATGTTTCTTACCTGACCTTTGAGGCTATAAAAGGTGGCAGACTCAAAAGTCTGACTCCAGGATTCTTTCTTCCTGAGAGTTTTTAGCAACCTCTCTCCCTCATTCAAATACACATATGCCTGAACACAACACAAAGAGTAGAAAAGTGTTAGTCGGCAGCGATCCAGAACACAGAGGGGCCACTGCCCCAGACTCTACTGAAGGAAGAAAAGCAGGAGTCACTCCAGGCACTGCATCCACCTCTCTCCCCAGCTCCACGGATTAGAATGGGCCTCCAAACTCTAGACAGGAGCTGGGTGGGTGAAGCCTTGCACCTTCATGCTTACCTGAGTCTGCTGTATTACTCCATCAAGAGGATGAATCTGTAAGTTTTCACCTTTCCTCATACTGTCACATAAGTTGCCTTACCTGAAGTTTTCCTCAGGGCAATTTCCTCCTCTCAGTAATTCCACCCCCAACCTATTTCCAACAACGTACCCACTGCTCCTGAATGTATCCCCACATCTCTGAGAAGCTGGTCTCTACTGAAATGAGTTACAAGCCACCCAAGTTTCCTTTGCCAGACCCATCTTTAGAAGGCAGAAGAGGAAAGTAAGGCCTTAAATAACTCTCCTCACTTCATCCTCAACCTCCTGACATCATTTGACAGGTGAGTCTTGGCACAGGTAAACACCAGGGCAAGATGAGACTTGAAGAGTAAAATAAGGTGAGGCAGTATCTCCAAGTCTCATGCAGGCTAAGTGGTATGTGTGGGAGGCAAGAAAAGGGAACCAGGATGACTTGGCCCCCAGCCCCAGTCCCACCAGATTTTCTTTGGTGGGAGAGGGGGTGCAAATGGCACATTCTGGCACCTTGCACTGTGGCTCTGCTTCCAGTCATTGTCTTCCTGATCATTCACCACTCCTTGTGGAGTGAAATAAGTATGCACAAGTTTTAGAAAGTCAGCCCCCAGGACTACCTAAACTTCCTCTTCCTGGAACTCACTGGCCACATTCCCACGAGCACCCCCAACACATGCATGATATATGCCAGAGACTTTCGTTCTTAACATAAATACTTGAGAGAACAGGGATTACAGACATTTTTAGCAGTTTAACTTGTAAATTTTATATAAATCTAAGTTATGAGGGTTGATGAGGCTCCTATGATTAACAGCAACTGTAAAATATGGGACAGACCACCAGTGTGGGCACGAAAGACTGGAGACATGGCTACTCAGGTATGTGAAACCCTTCCCCAAACTTGCTGGAGTCAGATTGAAGCAAGGCCCAGAAAGACATTTCCTCAAGGGAGTCCGTGAAAGGTTAGTCCAGACAGCTGCTCCGTGAAAAGTGATTTAAAGTCAAATAAGTTTGAGAAACATAGTATGCCTCAGTCTTAGCCCGACCCTTCCCCTTCTCTGTCCTCTAAGAGATTCATATATGTCATAGCATAGCAAAGGCTCTGAAATATCTACAGTAAAGAAACTTATTTAGCTGTATTCAGCTCAGTGCTTCCTAATTTTCTTAGCAATACATTCCTTTTATTTCATAATATGTATTAAATCCCCTCATTTCTAGGGGCATATTGCCCTGGAACCTTACTTACAACTATCCTAGAGAAATATCCTAGTGCTTTTGTGATCTAAAGGTATGTGTGATGATGTAGCACAAATTGCATGAAGATGAATGTGGGTGAGCTTTTGGGGGCATCACAAGATTAAAACCAGATAGGTATTTTGTGCTCACAGGTATTTGGGGATGACAGAGGACAAATGCCACTGGGACACTACTGAAGAAGACTATGCTGTAACTGAAGCATTGATACTAAAAGTCCTCTAGGCATCATTTTGGGAATGATATGTTACCCCTTACCTCCCATACAGGTAGACAATTCATGGTTAGTTTCTAAAGGTGGCAATATTTTAAATAATGTATAATGCTAGCTGCAATTTGTTCGAACTCTCTTTTTAATCTTAGATCATTTCCCTTCTGAACAATGTCATTTTCAAAGGAAAGGGTTGCTGGTAGGAATCAAGAACATGAAGTAATAAAAAAGCACAGTGGAGCTTCCTTTCTGGCTCTGTGGTCTATATGTTGTCTCTTGGGTGGAGCAGGTCTGGGTGGAAACAACTTACCATATAGTTATCATCCAAGATGAGATAAGCAGATGCAGTTTCTAGGAAGTAATATAAGGCTTTGTTGTTTTCTCCCAAAGCCAGAAAATGGTGGGCCAGAGGCAAGATGACAGTTTCTAGGATCTCCTCACACTGGCAAGACTCTAGAGGGATGATGTCTTCCTCAGATATCTTCATTCTTGTTATAACGGTGTCAAAGAAATTCAAAATCTTTTCTTTCTTTTCTTCAAGACTGTCCAAATGCACAAATAAATAGGAGTAATAACTTGCAAATATAGTATAGCTTTGGATATGAAAATAGCTTCAAAAACTAATGAAAGAGCAAGATAATAAAACCTAATGTAGATCCTACTGACTAAACTCACCATGCACATACCTCCCAGCATTTTCCCACGTGGACCTAAGAGGTCAAAAGTACTGACTGCACAAATAATTGTAACAGTGTTTTGAATTTAATGATGATTGTTTATGCTCTACCTCCTTAACAATTATATATGCCCATACCTGAGATTTTCGGGACAAAACTCAGATTTCTTAGGAATCTCTGCTTTGGAAAAGATGTTCATTTCTTCAACTAGAAAACAAATAAACAAATGAGCTGTATGGGTCATTGAAATGTTCCCTGTAGTGGAGATGTCTGGTATCTGCCAGAGACTCTTGTTCCCTTTTCACGATAGAGTCGTTGCTGCCCAGCCAGGAACTCCATTTCCCAGGCCCCATTGTGTTTTCAGTGAAGCCATGATTAGTTCTCACAATGGAATTAGATCAGAAGTAACATAGTCACCTCTTGGCTGAGGTGGTTATGTGTCTTCTCTACCCTCTCCTTCCACAGGAAAACAAATCATTCTGAGGCTTTAAGGGACAGCAAAACCACAAGTTGGAAGGAGCCTGGGTCACTGACTAACTGCATGCAAGGCCATTTTTCAAAAATTTCATAGGATTTTTACATTAGCAGGAAATAGACTATTATTCTATTGTGTTAAGCCACTGAATGGGGTTTATTGGAGCTGGTAACATCCTAACTAATATACCCTGTACTAACTACAACTGCTAATTAACAATCCTGAAGAAAGTGACATCAGTTTCTAGTGAAGAAATAAAGATACTTAAATGAAATTGCCCAAAAGGCTAACTAAAGGGCAGAGAATCTTGAACTTAAACACTTCCGTCTAATCAGACTTTAATAGTTTAGGAAATTTCGTAATCTTATAGCAGAAAGCAAATGATAATTGCCTGCTCCAGCCATTTCTCCATCCAGGGAGAGGGAAGAAACCTCTCTCAGAGCACATATCTGTTAGTGGCAGAGGTAAGACTAGAACATAGGTCTTCTAGCTCCAAGGCTACTGCGTTACTCCATAGGTCTTTTACTTTACAGTAATGCAGTTTGAGCATCTAAGAACTTATCACCTTCTTCTGAAAGCCTTCTGTGCCCTTGCCCCCATAGAATAAGTGCCTCAACTTATGGGTGCCCATAAACCCATGTGCAGACCTTTATCACAGTCCTTATCACACATATAGGGATCAATTTGTCCACCTCTTCTGCTAGATTCCTGTTTATTGTATCCTTAGTGACTAGAAGCTGAATATATTGAATTATGCCTCTATCCCCTTATGCCTCTAAAACTGCTCTGATCAAGGTTACCGGGGACCACCATGTTGCCAAATCCAAAGGTGACATCTTTGTGTGCATTTGATTACACCTCTCAGTAGCATTAATACAATTAACCTCTCTCTTTTCAATGGCTTTTGTTACACGTGTTCCCTTAGTTCCCTTCCACCTTGGCTGCCCACTTAGCTGTTTCCTGCTCCTCTGCCAACATTCTACATGTTGATAAGCTTCAGTTTGGTCCTGAGCTCCCTTTTCCGTCCACAATTTCTCCCTAGGTAATTTCATCAACCCATGACTTTAAATTCCATCCATATGCCAGTGACTTTCAATTTTATATCTATAAGCCCTGACATCTACTTTAATGACAGACCTATATCCATATGCCCCCTTGGCCACTGCCACTTGGTATTGCACAATTAACATGATTCAAACAGAGCTCTTGAATCTTATTTCCATAAACCTACACCCAGTTACATCTTTCGTATCTAGTAAGCATCACTGCCGTTTATCCATTCTCTCAAGGCAAAGACCTAGGCAATAATTCGTTTGCACCTTCTCTTTCCCTAACTCTGTTCCCATTCAATCTCTCAGAAAGTCTCATTGACAGGCCAGCCCTTGGCTCACTCGGGAGAGTGTCATGCTGATAACACCAAGGCCATGGGTTTGGATCCCATATAGGGATGGCCGGTTAGCTCATTGGGTGAGTGTAGTGCTGACAACACCAAGCCGAGAGTTAAGATCCCCTTACCAGTCATCTTCTAAAAAATAAATAGATAAATAGATAGATAGATAGATAAAATAAAAAAATAAAAAAGAAAGTCCCATTGACTTTACTCAAAAACATATCTGAATCTATGTCCATCTTCACCATAGAACCATCCTAGTCCATCGCCAAAATTTTATCTGGACAGCTGCAAAAAACTGATCTCTCTTCTATTCTTATTCCTTTCAATATGTTTCTATAGAAAAGACAGATTAAGTTTTTAAAAATAAGATTCAGATCTTTGTGACAGAAACTGCTGCTTTCCAATTCCAACTTCTATTAGCCCTTTTCTTCTTAGTAATAGAATTCGATTTTATTCAGGGCAGCTACATTTTCCAGCCTCTCCTGCAACTGGATGTGGGCATGCGACTAAGTTCTAGTAAGATGTAAGAGGAAATACTGGGTAGAACTTCTAGAAAATTCCTTCAAAGGGAAGAAACAACCCTTTCATTTTTTTGCTTCGTTTACCTTCTTCTGGCATTAAAACGTGAATATGATGGGTGGAGCTCCAGCATCTATTTTGTTTTTGTTTTAATGAACATGTGTTTTTTATTTTATTTTATTTATTTATTTTAATTTATCAATATACAATGTAGTTGATTTTCGTCTCTCTTTACCGATTCCCCTCCCTCTCCCCTCTCCCACCCATCGACATCATATCTGTTCACTTGTCTTAACAAGTTCAAGGAATTGTTGTGATTGTTGTGTCTTCTTCCCCTGCCCCACTGTTCGTTTGTATGTTTATTTATTTATTCTTAGCTCCCACAAATAATTTTTCACAGTGGTAAAATATATATAACATAGGGATTGCATTTTAAGCAGTTTTAAACATATAGTTGCGTGGAATTAATTATATTCACGGTGCTATGTGACCACTACCTTTATCTATGTCCAAAACTTTTTTGTCATCCTAAACGTAAACTTTGTACCCATTAAGCAATACCTTCTCATTATTCCTCCCCCCCAGTTTCTCCAGCAGCTATTTTGGACCAAAGTCCCTGATGATCATGAAGCTTCCATATTTGTCCCAGTGATGAGGCTAGCATTTTACATGAGAGAGAAATAACTTTAGTAATAAATAAATTTAAACCATTCTAGCTGGGTCCTTGTTATATGCAGCCAATACTAATTCTAATCAACAACTCTCCAGTGTCTTCCAATTCGGTTAGAATAAAATTCACACTATTTATCAAGGCTTACAAGCCCTTTGATGATTTTATTAATTAATCTGTTTATTGTCTGTCAGCCTCCATTAAAATTCAAGTTTATGAGAATAGATACATGACTATCATTTTCACCATGTAGCCCCAGTATCTACATCACTACCTGGCACGTAGTAGATGCTCAATAAATATTTGCTGCATAAAAGCACATTTGTTAAAAAACAAATGAACAAAAATAAAATGCTATTTCTCCTTCAATATACTACATATTTTTTATGTTTCAAATTGTAATGGTGATAGAATGAGATGGAGAGAAAAGAAATATTGGCTAGATAAAGCAAATAACATCAGGGTATACAAGATATGCTCTTTATCATTATATTATTTACCCATGAGTGAGTCATATTATTTCTGGTTCTTAATTTTTTTCATTTACAAAGGAGATATTTTATTAAGAGTTTCCTATGATAAAGAGGATCTGTAAAAATCACAAGAAAAAAAGATACAATACAAAATGCTTGTAGGTTCTCAAAAAAATGAAGAAAAGCAAAGATACCACCTATTCATCACCCCCCTGGTTTCAAAGGCCTAGAAACAGGACTTCAAGTTCAAGGTGTCAGACTTACCGCTTGTGTTTGTCTCCTGTCTCTCAAGGTCTAAGACATTTTTCCCTATTAAATGAGAATAAAATAATTTTTTAAAGCATAAACCCACAATGTATAGAATGGAAGGGGTCACTTTCCTGTCTTAGGGCCAGTGCACTGGCTGTTGCCTCTGTCTAGAATACTCTTCCCCAGCCATCCACACAGCAAATCCCTTACTCCTCTGTCTTTACACAAATTTCACTTCTCAGTGGGGCTACCCTAATGGCTCTGCACTACTAATCTCCCTTGTCCTACCTAACATTCTTTTTTGTCTTTCTCCATGGGATTTATCACTTATACTATACATTTCACTTCTTTATTCTTTTTTTCCTGCATTGTCTATTTTTCCCTAGTGGGATGCTGTTTTATTCACTGATGTGACTAGAGCAGTGAGCAGTGTCTGGCGCATAGTAGAAACTTAATAAACATTTGTTGAACCAGTAAATGAAATGTTGAATGAGATTTCAATGCATTTCTGGAAGACAAAGGAGTAAGAAGAGTGGTCACTGGTAAGTGGATGGAAAAAGCGGAAGGAGAAAGCCCAGGAGGGAGCTGTAGATCTTTGGAATGGATCAAGACTCAGAAATTAAGTTTTTAAGAAGGCCATGAGGATCAAAAGAGAGCTGAAAAGGGAATAAGCCTTCCTTACTATCTGATTTATATCTAACACAGTGTTCTGGAATCTCCTCCAATTATGTCCTTGACCAGTATTACCTAAAGGTCATACTCCACACTTTGGGAATAATGGATAAAGTATCCAGCCAAGATTGAAACAGAATATTATAAGGAAGACATTGCCAAAAGAAAAATTTCCTAGAAACTCTAGGAAAAATAAACATTTGTTAAGAAATCTATTCACAGTTTATTATTTGGTTCTGTAATATGCGAATACTTCATTATGTAATGCTAATAATATAACAATATGGGGGAGAGGTGCTGAAGAGTGGTAAAACAGAGTTAAATTCTCATCTACCATACAAAGAAGAAAACAGATAATGTCAGAATCTGATTTTTTTTAAAAAGTGATATTAACACACCCTTTAGTATATGGAGGTAATGACTAGACAGAACAGCTGAGTTAAAAATGTTTGTCCAAGAGAGAATTACTGAAGGTGTGTGGGGAGAGTGGGTCATGGATTACTGTTTTTATGATAAAACTTTCAGTAAACTAAAAAAAAGTCTTTATTTATAGTTTGTCTAGTTGATAGAAGTTTGAACAGATAAAACATTCTAAGAGAAATAGTAAAGCTCTGATCTCTCTCAAATGGAGGTGTTGATGAAAGGATACCAGCAGACACTATTCAGAGACATCTGATCATGTGTGCTCCAGAGCTAAACTGCCACAGTTTTTTGGATTCTCCAATAAGTTTTGGAGAATCCAAAAATAACTGAAATTGTTTTCTTTGATGACCCGAGCCAGCCTGCTGAAGGCCAACTGCTCAGACTGACCTATCTGCCAGCTTATTTTACCCCCCAAAATAAAATGTCATACATAAATAGTATATATAGTATATTTGTATATGTAAATGTGTGTGTGTGTGTGTATGTGTGTGTGTGAGAGAGAGAGAGACTCACTGATCCCACACAGTCTGGAATATTCTTTTCTCTTTCCCTCAACTCTCTCCTCCTGATGCTGTCATTCGGGGCTCTTTGAATGTGGCCCTGCTTTGGGATCCTTCACTGGAGCTCCCTTGATTCAGGCAATGCACCCTCTTCAGCTCTCCTCTGCTGGCCCCTTTAGCCCTGTTTTGTTCTAGCAGTCCACTTGTAGGGGTCTTCTTACACTCGCAAGGGCACTCCTGGGAAGAACTTAAAGTGGCTTCAGATTGGCTTTTCCTCACAGGTGGGTTATATCTGATCCATGGGAGACCCTTACACAGGCTTTCCCAAGCTGCCCTCCCAGAAGATTTCCCAGAAGAGAAATCAGGCTTTAGTTTCAGAGCCTTCGGGTCTGGACCATGAGGATTTCAAGTTCTCTGAGGGCTTAGACAATAAGAAGATGAGAGTTCATCAGCAGTTTCACCCCTTTGGGGCAGGAAAGATGTCAGAGGAATGTACATGTAGCTGAATCTAATGTTCATTACTAGCATTTATTACATTTTCCCTCGTGCATTATATTTTTCCAAAATTGGAAATGTTTTTAATATTATTATTATTATTAAAAAAGTATGTACATGACATGATGTTGAAATTGAAATTTGTACCAAGGCAGCAAGATACAGTCAGTGCTGCAGTCCAAAGTGATGGATATACAGAATTTACAAAGGAAATAGCTGAGAATCAATTATAATGTTGGGTCCTTCATCCAGATCCAAGACTTAAGAATGAGGAAGAGTGTGGAGAGGGCCAACATTTGTAAGGAGATTTCTTGGGCAAGAACTGGTGAGGTACTGTGTGCCCTCCTCAAGCTGGTTGTTTCCTTTATTACCTCAAGCCTGGTAAGGGGTCTTCACTGGAATCAGTTAGAGGACACACAAAACTGGGGCCTACCTCCCGCCTGGCTACTTCATCATGTCAGACCATGCCCCCAGCCCCCTGACATTCCAACCCTTGGTGTGAATTAAGCAGGACATTTTAATTTGAGCTCTGGTACACCCCATTTCCCAGAGCCCCTTATCCCCAAACCCTCCCCGACAGTCTCAGGTGAGATTGGCTTTGCTAGACTCAGCTGCATGTTCCTTCCCTGACTTGTCCCTTCCCTGCTGGCTCATGACACTGGCCTCTCACCATTTCCAGTGCTCAAGCCCTCAGGGGAACTCGAAACCCTCAAGCTCCAGACCCACTCTTTCTAGATCTTAGTCTCCAGATTTCCCAAGAATAGTTAAGATTAATTAAAAATAAGGTAAGTTTACTTTCAAGTCCATGGGATTTAACCATTTTCTTGATGGTATCCAGGTCCAAAGTGTTGAGCCGAATGTTCCCTGTGAAGTGGTGATAGGGAATGAAGTCCCTGCTTCTGCAGTGGTCACATCTGTGTGCAATTTCTTCTAAAAATCGTGCACATTTCAAGTGCATGGCTTTCTTCTGGTCCTTGAGCCACAGCTCGTAGGCTGTTTTCTGCATCACAGGCCTGCAGAATCGAATGATGTGGCACTCAATCACCTCGCTTTCCAGTTCCCGAAGCTCTTCCTCTTCACCGTGAGCTAGTGAGAACAGAAAAAGGTTTTCAGCCAGGCAGTGGGCAACAAGTCAGCTTCTGCTACCTAACGTACATCAATTCTTGATCTAGATGTGCCTTTAAGGGGAATTACGGGTCACTTTCAGGGACTACTCACCCATCCCTTCACTGGGCTTCAGAGACAAAGACCGATAATTCACCTCAAATGAGGCTGCATTCTGTTTCAGGGCCATTCGAAGTTCCTTGCCATTCCGGAAGCAATCGAAAATGTTAGATTCCACTAGTGTTGCCAGGGCTTTGATCATCATCTTCATGTTCCAACACGGGAGAATCTCAAACAGCAACACCGTAGTGAAGGTCAGACCAGTGATGGCAGCACATCTCACCAGCATTTGGAGGGAGAGGCTCATGCTATCCAGCTGGACCAGAGAGATCTCTGCACATGGAAAGACACAGGATAGGGAGCTAGTTACCTGTCTTGATCAGATACATCCCAGAGGTGGATAACCGCCCAGCTCTATAGTTCTTGTTCACAGAAACCCAGCCACACAAAGTCAAAAGAAGTATTTGTTTAGTACCTAATTCACGGATAGCACTTGTGTTGGGAGTACAAAAGACGCAGACCTATGGCCTAAAAAGACACAAGCCACAATGACCAGACAAAAATAAGATGGATTTCAAGATGTTCTGATTTGGTGTTAAACTGTGACAAGGGTGTACGAGCAGAGGAGAGGTCACTGTAGCCACAGCAGTGAGGAGCAGGGCCTCCACTCCTGTTGGTTGTTGACTTTTCCAGCTGGTTCTTCTCCAAGGTCTTCTTCACTCACTCCTCTTTCTCCTGGAAACTCCTCGCAGTAAAGCTTCTCTCTTTTTCCCCTGAGATTCATTTATTCTCGTGACATACATTATCATCTTTATGTCATGACCAGTGTCAGAGAGTTTATAACTCCTATCCTAACTGTTCATCCAAGCTTGAGAATCATAGCTTATGTGGCTTCCTGGGCATTTTGATCAGGATGTTCCTCCATTAGGGACAAAATGGGAACTTTCAATTTGTCCACAAAACACAGTAAAAGCTAAACTAGTCTATCTTATGGATGCCATGGGTTGGAGATGGATGCATACTAGAACATTGCTTAAAAGTCATTTTTCTTTAAAAGAATAATAATACATCTCTGATATATACTCCTTTGTTATTTTTTTCGTATAAAAGTAGATGGCAGAAAATGTTTCAGTATTAGATTTTTCTCCCTCATTATTTGGTTTCTGTTTAATTAGAAATGTACTATACTTCATTCTTTTATGCAAGTGAATAAACCTTTGTTCAAATCAGACCCCAGAATATGCAAAGGGGACAGGGGGAAGGTGGCTCCTAATTGGAAGTAGAAAAGCCAAGTCTATCCTGGAGCCTTCCATCTGCCTGGGGTAATATAAAACAGACAAACAACCTATGCTACTATGTTCTTCCTCCTTTCTTAGATATTCATCCTAGAGAAAGCAAAAGTGAAGTCTAGGTATGAGAAAATGAATACCAGGTCAAATTTTCTTACCTTTTAATGATGCTGGTGGTGACAAGTTTTTCAGTCTGACACCACTTGCAAGGTTACAGACTTCATTTCTGTCCTCAGTAGTGACAGCAAATAGGTTTAAGACCTCTGTCGGCTTAGTGAAATTCTCTACAGGGTGATAAAGGAGAAGAAAAGTTGAAAGTTACAATCTTATAAAGTCTCATTTTCCAATCAATTTTGAGATGGATCTCTGGTGAGAAAGAATGGGCAGGGATGTGTGTTAGCTCACCAAATATTCTGGAATATCTTGTTTTAAGTAAAACTTACATATGAAAATCTAAATTTACTCAAAAAGGTTTTGTCGTCCCTTCCCAGCCCCCCAACCAAAAAGACTGGCACTGCTGTCTTCCATAGGATACACAGTTCTACAAAAATTTGATTCACGGGCCGGCCCGGTGGCGCACTGGATAGTGCACCACTTGGGAAGCGCGGCGGCACTCCCGCCCGAGGGTTCGGATCCCACATACAGACCGGTTCCCGCTCACTGGCTGAGCGAGGCACGGGAGCAACACCGAGGGTTGCAATCCCGTTGCCGGTCCCCGGTCCGGTACGGGGGCAACACTGAGGGTTGCGATCTGTTGCCGGACACGGAAAAAAGACAAAAGACAAAAAAAAAAAAAAAAATTTGATTCACGGTCAGATTATCAGGATATATTGTATAGAATATAGTAACATATACTTGTATGCACATTCACCTACTCACTATCAGATAAACACACTCTGTAGGAGACTGTACTCTAATTAGGGCTAGGACGTGGCTACTATCAGAAAGAGATATTTAAAATGGTGAGGTTTGAATAGTGAACTTGCCTAGTAATCTGGTCTCCTTGTACTCCATAATGTATTATTTATTTATCCTTTCAGTCATTCAAGTAATACTTGGTAGCTGCAAGACACTATGATAGGTGAGATGGAAATATGAAGGTAAACATAACCAAGTTCCTCATTTCCTGGACAATTAGTCATGTACACAAAGAACTAGACCACCAGGCAGTGAGTGAATGCCATGCGATTGGGTGTAAACAGCAAGCAGCAGAGAGGCTGTGTCAATACAGCACACACGTAGTAAGGACTTTTTATGCATCATATCCTGTGAAGGCTATAAAAGTGAATAGGATATACTTCCAGCCCTCAAGAAGCTTAAAATCTACAGGGACATATATATATAAGTAACTAATCATAATACCAGGAAGAGTGACTTAAGAGCTAATGAGCAAAGAAGAATATGTTATGGGAACAGAGAAGAACAATTAATTCAGACTTGGTGGATTCAGAAAGGTTTCATAAAGGAGAAAGTATTTTGATTGATGCTTGAAGGGGTAGTCTGAGCAGAAATTGGAGGGGAGATAAAATGCAAAGGCACAGAGCCTCAGGGTACTCAGCGAGTCAGGGGAGTGTGAGCTAACCAGTGGAGCTGAAGTGCAGTGTGTGGAGTGCTGGAGCGCTGCTGAGGGAAATGTACTTGGAGAGCTAGTTTTGGAGCAGAGTATGGGGGTCATATAATACCATACTCTGAAGACTGGACTTTTTAGACAATGGGGAAATATCACAGATTTCTGAAGGGGAGATAGTGGTAATCCAGCCAGTTGTTTTTAGGAGAGTAAAACTGGAAGCAGCATACGAGAGAAGGCAGAGAATAGGACAGGGAAGACTATGTAAGAAGCTACAGGGGCTGGCCGGTTAGCTCAGCTGGTGAGAGCGCAGCCTCATAACACAAGGTCATGGGTTTGGATCCTCATACTGGCTAGCTGCCAAAAAAAAAAAAAAAAAAAGAAGCTACAACCAGGGGATATCAAGAAGTGATGATGAATAGAACCAGGTAAGTGCTACAGCAAGGAGAGAAAGCAAATACTAAAGATATTGAGGAAATGTTGCCTAAGCAAGATAGTGATGGAAATGAGAGAGACATGAATGATACCATTAATCAAGCTGGGGAATATGGGAGGAGGTACAGTTTGAGATAAAGGATAATGCATTAAGTTTTAGATGTGTTGAGTTTGAGGGAGTCTATGGGATAGTCCAATTGGAAATTGGAAATCCGTATTTACAATTTCTGGAATTAAGAGTGAGGTTAGCATGGGAGATTTTACACACATACACACATTAAAACTGGGGAATAGGTGCATAAGTGAAAACCACTGGGGAGAGAGTACTGAGCCGGCAAAGAGGGTTAAAAATGTAATGTCTCATAGGAGGAGCAGATCCAAAGAGAGAGCCAATGAGCAGCCGAGGGCTGGTCAGAGAGGTAATGGAGGGGAATAGGAAGAGTGTGGGATCAGAAAAGCCAAGAAAGGGCAGCATACTAAAAAGGTGCCAGGTGTGAGTGTGTGTGTATGTGTGAGTGTGTGTGTGTGTTGGTGGTAAGAGTGTGGGGTGCAAGAGTATGACATGGTCCATGCTCTTTTATGCTTGTTCATTTCCCCTTCCACAACCTAGTGCTGTGATGATCATTCTTCCCATGACCCAACCAATACCAACTGAGTACCTCAAGGTAAGAGGCATCATTCTAGGACTGGAGATCCAGGAGTGTACAAGACTCTCTGCCTCACGGAGCTCCCATTCTGACCATGGGAGACAGACAGTAAACAGTAGATACATAAATCAATGGGATAACCTCATAATGTGATTCGGTTGTGACAAAGAATAAAAGGGTGATAGACACGGCATACTCTACTCAAATTCACCTGTTAACATTTTGCCTTACTTGCTATATCTTTTGTTCTCTCTATATGTACATATTTTTATTGAAGCATTTGAACTTAAGCTGCATATATCATGCTCCTTATCCACAGATACTTTACCCTGTATTTCCTAAGAATAACAACATTCTCTTAGATATCTAGAGTACACTTATCACCTTGAAAATTCAACATTGATACAATACTTTGTCCATATTCCAGTTTTGCCAGTTGACCCAATAATGCCCTTTAGCATTCTTTTTTCTTCCAATATAGGATTCAGTCTAGGATTATGTAGTATATTTAGTTGTGTTTTTTTATTGAAGTAAAATTCTTATAACATACAACTAACCATTTTAAAGCACACACCATTTAGTGCCATTTAGTGTATTCAATATATTGTGTAACCAGCACCTCTCCTTAGTTTCAAATTTTTTCATTATCCCAGAAGACACTAACAGGTTTTAAATAGGAAAGACACCTGATTGTTTTTTAAAGACCTCATAACATTGGTTCCCCACATCAGCCAGCCACCAAAAAAAAAAAAAAAAAAAAAGATCTCATCTCAAAACAGACACTGAATAAATGTTTGTTGAATGAATAAAATGTGGAAATAGTATTATTTATTATTATTTATTTCCATATAATATGTGAAAAAAGTATTGCTCTGCAGTATTTATATTTACATATTTCCTTCCCATAATTTATTGGCTAATATATTATTTTAACAGTACTATTTAGCCTAAAAATAATGATCATAGCAGTCATTGTCTTTTAATGATTTATTACCATATTTAAAACTAATTTGGGGCTGGCCATTTAGCTTGGTTGGTGGGAGCATGGTGATGATAACACTAAGATCCAGGGTTTGACCCCTGTACTGGCTAGCTGCCAAAGAAAAAAAAAAAAGAAAAGAAAGAAAACTGATTTTAAAAGTTTTAAAATTATTATTTTTTTTGTTGTTGAAACATGTTGCTTTATTTTTTTATTATTGAAAAATGATTGATTATACATATTTGTGGGGGGCAGAGTTGAATATCAATGCCTGTGTACAATGTGTGATGATCAACTCAGGATAATTAGCATGTTCATCACTATACAATGCAATCATTCTTTGTGTCCATTAGCCAATTTCTTGCTAGCCCCCCACCCCCTCTCCCTTTCACACCTCTAGTAACCACAGTTCTGTTCTCTCCTTCTGAAAGTTCAATGCATTATTGTGATCATTCTCTCTCTCTCTCTCTCTCGCTCTCTCTCTCTCTCTCTCTCTCTCTCTCATTCTTTCTTTTTAGAAAACTAATTTGGCCAGGCGAAGCTAACTTTTTTTTATCACAATCACCCAGAATGAAGAAAAAAAAATTGATCCCTTAAAAAGCAAGCTTATGTCTCTTGTTCCTTTGTTTAAGAAAATTCTTTGGGCCGGCCCGGTGGCGCACTGGAGAGTGCGCCACTTGGGAGCGCGGCAGCGCTCCCGCCGAGGGTTCGGATCCCATGTGGAGACCGGTTCCTGCTCACTGGCTGAGCGCGGTGCGGGTGCAACACCGAGGGTTGTGACCGGTCAGTAAAAAAGACAAAAAGGAAAAAAAAAAAAGAAAATTCTTAACTTGGACCCTGCTCTTCTCTCAGACAACCGTCTCATGTATCTTCCAGAAGTGACCACACTGGCCACATGGGCCTGAAGTCATGTGATTGTACATGAAGTGAGAGGCATCAGATGCAGCTGCAACACAGTTCACAGAGGGATAGGGGGCATCTGAGCTTCATTCATTCACGCAGGAGATGGGGGATTTTCAGGAAAAGGTAGCCCTTTTCCTTGCACTAAAATTATTTTTCTGAATATTCCAGCTGGTTTACTTCATGCCATCATCTCAAGTTTCATCCCCGTGTACGTCTCTGTAGCATGGGAACCTTGTTGATGATTCACTTTGAACTACTAATTTTATCTCTAGAAAACAAGGAATTTTTTTTCCTATCTAGCATCTAAGTCCCCCTTCAGTTCTGATTTGGGGCCTTGAGATTTCTCAGTGTTTTTTTATGTCTATCATAGGTAAACATTCTTTAGCCCAGTCCAGTGAATACCAGGCAATGTTAAGTTCTCTTACAACTTGGGATATCAGATCCAATATCCTTCTTTTTTTTACTTTAAAAAAATGTATTTGATTTTTTATTTTAACATTTACATGTACATATTTGTGTTGTTTCAATACATGCAGATCCAACATTTCTTGCCTCCCCAAAACACTCCGACCCTACAGGAGGCAACCTATGGAAGAGCCCATTCTTGCGTGAGGACTTAGTTACACAGAAGGACAGAGTGAGAAAGAACATTCACTGCAGGACTCACTGAACAGGTTATTCCAGGTCACATCTGTCTTTTCCTCAGACTCCATTTGATGGAAAATGAGTACCCTGTGATGCTCGAGATTTTTTAGCAATTCTTCACAGTAAAATGGAATTCCACAGCTTCCCTCCACGAGGTACCTGTAGTAAAAACAAGGCAACCTGTTTACATTGAAGAGCCATCTTTTAGGAAGGAAAAATATTATTATTTTAATACTTTTGTGTCTTCTCAATCACCTCAAAATAATCTCTTCTCATTCTCCATTTGTTTCAGCTTGTTTTCAACTTTTAGGGATTGCTTCTTTTTTCTTTTTATTTCACTTTTTAAATTGTGTAAAACATTTATGTAATTGAAATCTTTCCAAATTCAAAACTACATAAGGTATATCCTTAGTCTTGCTTCCATTCCTCACGCCATGGGTAACCATTTCAGTTAGTTTTTGGTTTATCCTTCCAATGTTTCTTTTTAAAAATATAAATGAGTGCACGCACACACACACACACACACACACACCCCTCTATTTCACCCCTTTTTAAGATAAAAGGCAGCATGTTATACACACTGCATACTGAGCTGCATATTGTTTTTTCACTCAACCACGTGTCCTTGAACTTCCCTCCAATATCAGCAGATCTTTCTTATCTCTTTTAGCTATTATGCAGTGCACCATTATGTGGATGTGTCCTAGTATATTCAACCTGTCCCCTTAGAGATGGACATTCAGATGGTTTCTAGTCCTTTATGAATACAGATAATGCCCCAATAAAAACTTTGTCCATATGTCACTTCATATTTTTGTCAATATATATTTGAGATAGAATCCTAGAATTGGGATTGCTAGATCAAAAGGTAAATGCAGATACATAAATATAGATACACATACCCATACCCACCCCCCCCCCATACACAAGGGTACTTCAAAAAGTTCATAGGAAAATAGAATTGAAAGATGATATAAATCTTTCCATGAACTTTTTAAAGTTCCTCACATATATAGATAGATAGATAGATAGATAGATAGATAGATAGATAGATAGATAGATAGATATAGATATAGATATCTATATCTATATATATATCTATCTATCTATCTATCTATCTATCTATCTATCTATCTATCTATCTATCTATCTATATACATATACACACACATCATATATTTGCCTCATACATCCTAGACTTGGAGCTGAAGAATCTGGCAACCCAGAAACACCAAGGACATACAAACAAAAAAAGCCCCAATAAAGCCTGCTCTCTCTCTTCTTAATTCTCTATTTTCCAACTTGCATCCTTACACCATTCTCTGACTCCCACCCTTTCAGTTTTCTAAATATTCAAGCTGGATTCCTTCATGCCATCATCTCAAGTTTCATCCCCCTGTACGTCTCTGTAGCATGGGAACTTTGATGATGATTCACTTTGAACTAGTTCTTTTATCTCTAGAAAACGAGAATTTTTTTTTCTAGATAGTATATAAGTCTCTCTTCAGTTCTGATTCTGGGCCTTGAGATTTCTCAGTGTTCCTTTATGTCTATCACAGGTATACATTCTTTAGCCCAGTCCAGAGAATCCAAGAGAGAAGGAGAGAGAGAGAGAGAGAGAAATTTATGCCTCGAGTTATTTTAAATGAGCCTTTGTTCAAGACACCCTTCTTCTAGAAACAAGGCAACCCCATTAGAAAGAATGGATGCAGATACTAAAGTGGGTTGTAAACAACCAGCCAAAGAAGAGACATTGTCTGTGTTGTTAAGGGGATTGCTGTCAAGATCCCAGCAGAGGAGTCACTGAAAAGCTAAGATAGCACTCACTAGAGAGTCGGCAACATCTGTCATAGACAGTGAATACCAGTGCCAGACCACACTATTGCCAGCCAAGTAAGACCTCACTTAGTTACAGATTGTAGCCTTTAATACTTACCATTTTGCCTGTCCTGTCACCTGTCCATGACAAAGCTTTCAGCCACTGTTTATTAAAGTGAGTATACCCATACCCAGAAAGATGAAAAAGAAAGAAATCAACTAAGTAAAGTTTGAGAAAGCTTAAGAGGGTTATAACATGGAAAAGTGACCAACATCTGTCCTACCTAAGCATAATGAATGGCCCCTTCAAAAGGTGGCACCAGCAAAAATACTGTAATACTTCAAGATACATCCTAAGGAATCTGATGAAGTCTGGGCCTGGGGAATGAACGCAGATATCGTGACTTCAGGATAGAAACAGATCACTTACAAGTCCAGTTCTTTGGGGATGCTGCTCACGTTGAGGTCAAGACAGACCTTGCTGCAGATGTCCTTCGGCTGCACTGCACCAAGGCTGACAAAGGTGGTGTTCCTGTTCTTCATTATGGCACTGGCAGCTGCACAGGGCATATCGATGAAGGGAGACAGGGACATGATGATGAAGATAGGAATAGTCTGGATAAGCTTCTCCATAAAGGCCCAGGAGGTTGAATCCACAAACTGGGCCTCATCGATGATGAAAATGATTCTTTCCTCTTTCACTGTCTGGACAAGGTAGAGAAACAGAAAAATGCTGTAAGACTTCAGGTTTTTATACTTATGTATGGGTATGTATGGCAGTTCATGCTATACTAGTTTGAACTGTGATATATATTATGCTTAAAAGAAGATTACATGTCCCTTTTCTCATACAGATCCTTTCCTAACGAGTCTGAATTATTCGCTCACTCATTAAGCATTTACTGTGCATCTGTTAGGGTTGGGCACTGTAATAGGTGCTAGGGATACAGTCTTAAACAAAATATGAAGCTTACATTTCAGTGTCAGCCACATGCATAGTAGGCCCTGCCTTCCCATTGGGTGAAGTGTCCAAATGGAGAAAACCTCCTCCCCAACTCTCACTACTCCAGTCTGCTTGTGGCTTATTTTCCTGTTCCTCTGAGAAGAGATTGGGTTAACTCATTCTTTTCCTCGTGCTTTTACAAAAGTTAAAATTATTTGTGTGTTTCAAAACCACAAATTTCATAAGACAATCATTATAAGGTGTTACAACCTGCCTTATTGTATATACATAATAAGGCTACTCCTACGGCCTCATTCTGTCACCAAATGCGTGGCCCTTCACTAGCCCTGAAAACATTTTAATTACTGGGGGGTCAGGTGGGGTGGGGTGGGGTAGCATTACATTGTTTTCTTTTTGACTGGTATCTTTAAAAAAGATGGAGCAGATAGAGACGTGAGTATTAGTCATGTAATGGCCTTGCAGTGAACTACTTATGAATGAGGATAGTAAAGCAGAAGTACAAAAGCATGATTTCATTCACTAGTACATCATTGGCCCTGGTTTCTTCCAATTTAAAATGAGGAGATCAGGGCTGGCCAGTTAGCTCAGCTGGTTCGAGCATGGTGCTGATAACACCAAGGTCAAGGATTCAGATCCCCTTACTGGCCAGCCTCAAATAAATAAATAAATAAAAATCAAATGAGGAGGTTGAATGGGGTTCTCTCTAATGTGAATAAAAGCCAACATTTACATTGCACTTATTGTGTTCCAAGCACTGTGTGACTCTCTTTACATAGATTAATTCATTTAATCCTCACAACATCCATAAGAAGTGATACTATTGAATCTGTGTGAGACTGTGAACATAACTTACTCCACCTTGAAGCCCTTACCACTTGCTATGTCCTCTGTATGAACCCTGTCCACAGAAGTTATACAGTAATTGGGGGAAGGTAGTTAAAACAATAGGTAGAAACAGCTTGCTGACTACAAAGAAGGAATTTAATGATTAAGTTCTGGTATGGCAGCATCAAGTCTGGCTACCTGCAGCACAAGACCACAAAAGACAGTAATCACCGTCATAAGATATTTGGAGTTAGTGATGTTAGCTTGTTTCTTAGCTAGTAATTGCTTCTTGGCTTTTTCCAGTGCTTTGTGTGAACTGTCTGTAAAAACTTGCACTGGACCAGGATGTGGCGCAGAGAAACTTCGTGTACACTTCTGGATCATTGCCCACCTGATACATCATCCCATAAGTAAATCACCCTTTTAATAAAATTCTTTGCTTTATGGCATGGAAGTGCCTGCCTCATTTTTTGGTCTTAAGATACCTTCTCAGTTTGGTGGGCACTTTACTTTTGGCTGACCTTCAGATATATATTTACTAAGAAAATTTAGGCACAGAGAAATTAGGTAACTTGCCCAAGTTCACACCTATAGTTAATGATCCAAAGACTGTTGTCATAGCAGATAGTCAAAGCACAGCTTCAGCAGGGATTTCCAAACTAGATTCTGCATCAGAACCAACTGAGAAGTTTTAAAACAAAAGCAAACAACTAAATGGATTCCTAGGCTCAACCCAAGCCCTACTTCTTTAATACGTAGGGATAGAACTCACAAATCCATATTTTTAAAGAACTTCCTTAGATACACTTGTGGTGCAAATAATCCAAAGCCTGACATTTAGGAACTCCTGATATTGCCTTGCCTATATAACTGAAGTTGCAGAAGGTTGTACTATAAATTTAATACAATGCAACAAACGTATACTGATCATCTATTACGTGCCAGGCACTCTACTGCTGATACAAAAATGCGTAAGGGGCTCCCTGTCCTCAAGAAGCTCAGAATCTCCTGAGGGAGACAGACAGACAAATTAAGTAATGAACTGCAACACAGTGTGGTAAGTATAGTAATAAATGTGTTCAAAGCATTACAGAAGCATGTGGAGGAGGAATTAGTCATGCCTAGTGATTTGGCAAAGTTCTCACCAAACAGGTGATACTGAAGGATGAGTAGCATTTCTCCAGGTTAAAAAAAAAAAAATCTTTTGACTTTAATCTTATTAGCACTGGGACTTATTTGGAGAGTATGAAGTGTGGGTTGATGTGATTAGCATTTACTCTGGCAGTTATATGGGGAATGAATTGGAGTGGAGAGGGGTGAAGCACAGGGATTAGTTGAAAGCTATGGAAATAGTCCAGGAAAAGACAAAAGCCTGGACTATGGCAGTAGGAACAGAAGACAGGGAGATTCCAGAGATGGTTCAAGGTAGAAACAGCAGGACTTGGCAATTGAGTAGATATGGGGTACAGGGGTGAGGAAGAGGGCAAGGATAACATTAAATAATGCACGAATGAATTTGCCATTAACCAAATCAAGGATGAGGATCAGGATGAGGAAGAAAGGGCATTGTAGTAGAAAAAAAAATGAATGTGGTATTAGATAATGAACTCAGTGTGAGTTACTACATCCAAGTGAAGTATATAAAAGGTTCTTGGAAATATGGCTCTGGTACTTAGAAGGGAGGTAGGGATTGGAATATAAATTTGGTGATCATCAATGTATAGTGGACAGTTGGAGTCATAAAATTACTCAGAGAGCTAACATCTGTTGAGTGTTTCCTATGAAGGAGGCACTGTTCCAAGTGTTTTATATATAATTTAGTCATTTAAACCTTACACCCCCATGTGAGCTAGGTACTATTATTTCCCCCATTGATAGATGATAAAACAGAAGCACAGAGTGGTTAAGTCACTGGCTACCTTTAGGCCTAAAGGTTCACACCACAATAGTCTGAGTACAGAGCCTGCATATGTACAGCCTTTGGTATATTACATCTCATCCAGAGAATGTAAAAAAAAAAGAGGGCTGGGAGAGGCCAAACTCCCCAGAGTAATGTTAAGAGAGTCCTTTCAAGGATATGCAAATTCCAAGCAGAATCTTAGCTCACATTTGGAAGGATGAAGGAGAGTGACGCCCTTTAGGATAAAGTTTTCACATACTTCCAAAGCTTCTTGTCATTGGAGTCTGAACCCCTCTAACCATCTACCTTTGTGGTGATTTGTCCAGGTTTCCTCCCTCCATTGCTTTACCCACAAATGCTCTTACTTGCTCCAAAATCTTCATAAACAATGTTTCCAATTGCTTTTGCTTTCTGGAGGAGCTCATCCTGGAAACCTCCCGTGAAATTGGAAACTGTACAAAGAATTATGAAAATATTGAGTATGGGAAAATAGCAAAGGGAACTCCTACCTGTGCGACTTTGGGCAAAACACTTAACTGTTCTGCACCTTCATGTGTTAGATGATCCATAATGTCCCTTCCAGCTCTAAGACCCTATGCCATTGACTCTAATGGAACAGGAAAGAACAGGGCATACTGTCTTTGCATGGCAATTACTTGTGGGAGCAGAGTGATTATATGTCCCAGACTAGCCAGAATAGGATAGCTATGACAGAAAGGTGAGAAAAAAATAAATCAACAGGTGGCTGTTTAGGTTTTCTTGAGTACGGTATTTCTAGATACCTCCAATATGTCTCAAGAATGTGGATGCACATTCAAGGAGGACTAGGAACCATTTACTCACCATCTGGGTGCTCCAGATGAGAAAAGAAAAGGGTAATAAAGGCCAAAGAGATGCTAAGTCATAAAGCATTAGGGAGGAGGTGCTGTATCTGCCCCATGGCTATTTCTTGAAGAAGTCTAATACTAGCTAGTTACCTGGACATGGAAAATGTCATTAAGAAGACAGTGGAACTTTTCATCCAACAGTGTCTTGACTTTATTTTGAAGGTTGGTCTGTCGTTCTTTATAATGTTTACAAGTATCCAGACCTAATACATTGGCCATGAGTATCTGGATGGTATTAAAAGTTTGATGGAAGCTGATCTTAGTTAATGCAATAGCAATAATCCTGTTTATGAGAAAGTCAAGAATCAGATGAGAGTTGTTAAATATTTTTTTTGGAAATAATAAAGATGATAATAATAAAGGAAAGCTCTGATACCTCATAGCTCTGATGACAGAGATTTACCAAGCTATATGGAAGCTGTTCTTAATTCCTGCTTCTGATGTACTCCCATCATTCCACCATGTTGCTAGGCCCTGATAACTTAACCTAGCAACCCCCTCCTTTCTAGTCCTACAACTACTGGTTCAGGCCCTAGCACGCTCAGCTATGCTACCGCAATAGCATGCCACTACCACTCCCTAGTGTCAAGACCCTCTGAATGCATCACCTTCACAAAAACCTGAAGGATCTAGTTAGATGCAATTCTTCTTGTGTTGCTCTCCCAGTTAAAATTTTTCAGCGGCTCCCGTCACCTAAAGGTGTAGATTCAGACACCTTTATGTGACATATAAGACCTTCCAAGGCCTCATTTTTCATTTCTTGCCACTCTCTGCCTAGTGATCTGCTCTCCACCAACAACAGGTGGGTGAGAGTTCCCTGGCTTGCCTCTCTATGCTGTCTCCTCAGCCTGGAGTGGTGTCACTCCTCACAGTCCCTCATTCACTGTTCCTCTGCAAGTTTCAGCTCAGGTGCAGCCTCCTGAAAACCTGCCCTGACACCCCAGGTTGGCTTACACACCCCTCTGCCTCTGAGCTTCCACCATCTCTATCATTGCCCTCACCACATTCTATTTTATTGTTATCTCTCTCCTCCTCTTCTTCTGTGAGAGCTCCTTTAGGGCAGGGATCAGGTCTTATTCATATTCAGGACTTTGGCACTTGTTGTGTTGACTCATGTTCCCCCAAAATTCATATGTCAAAGTTTCAGCTCCTGGGACCTCAAAATGTGACCTTATTTGGGAAGAAGATTGTGGCAGATGTAATTAGTAAAGATGAGACCATACTCAAGTAGGGTGGGCCCCAATCCAATATGACTGATATCCTTATAAAAAGGGAAAATTGGGACACAGACAGTACACAGGGAGAATGTTATGTGAACATAAAGGCTGAGATCCAGGTGACACTTCTACAAGCCAAGGAACACCAAAGATGGCCAGAAACTAGGGGAGAGGCTTGGAACAGATTCTTCTCCATAGTCCTGAGAGAGAACCAACACAGATGGCACCTTGATCTCAGGCTCCTAGCCTCCAGAACTATGAAACAATAAATTTGTGTTGTTTAAGCCACCTGGTTATGGTACTTTGTTATGGTAGCCCTGGCAAATGAATACAGCACTTAACATTTCCTGGAACACAGTAGGAATTCAATGAGTGATTGAATAAATAAAAGTCTTCTGGTTGTTGTGATTATCCCCTCAGCAATGTTAAAGGTATTTTAAAACTTGCATTTCTCAGGCCTGACATTAAAGAGAGATAGAAATCAGCTAAAAATAATACACAGTTAACAAGCATTTTCCCCTCATAGCCTCTAGGTTAGATGGTGAAAGGCTATGAGACACCATCATCATTGTCACGGTCATCATTACTGTTGTTGAATACCATACTATTCACTTCTATGAGGGTGCTAGATGGATTGTCCCAAAGAGAGCCCTCATTACATTCCATATATGAAAATAGATAAACAATATGAGGTAAGTACATTAGTTCTGTCTTCCACAGGAAAACCCAGAGACCTGTTATTCTCTGTCCCCGTTCTCAGGGCTAAATGGTTTGAACTGGCGATTGCCTGTCTGCTAGCTGTATAGACTTATGTGTTTGTTCTGCAGACTAAATCTAACATTGAGGGGCCAGCCCGGTGGCGCACTGCTACAGTGCGTCGCTTGGGAGCGCAGTGGCGCTCCCGCCGAGGGTTCGGATCCCACATACAGACCGGTTCCCGCTCACTGGCTGAGCGAGGTGTGGGCGCAACACCGAGGGTTGCGATCCCGTTGCCAGACACGAAAAAAGACAAAAAGGAAAATAAATAAATAAATAAATAAATAAATCTAACATTGATCTTAACATCTATGTCAGTTGTTCTCAACCTCTCTGCACATTGGGATTACTTAGGAAGATATAAAATACCCAAGCTCCACCTGAATCAGGATTTCCAGGGGTCAGCCCAGTTTCTCTTTCTCTTAGTTGAATATGTTTACCATCAATTATCTATTCAGCACAAAGGTCATAACACTCAACAGTTGTAGATTGTGAATAGTTTACATAAGGCAAGTTATATAAAGAAGAGGAGAATAAAAATTAGTGAAACTCTTTAAGGATATCAGGATTCTCTGAGTTCACAAAGAGTGGTAATTGTGAGACACTCACCTGTGGTTCTCACCTTGGGCCAGGTACATGATTTCCATAAGTATCTGGCTTTTTCCATATCCTGATAATCCTTCATACATCAGTACTCGGCTGCAGTTAGATATCAAAAATTCCTTCATAATACACATGAAGTATTTGATCTCCTTATCACGTCCTGTCATTTTTTTTTTTAAAAAAGAGGGAGCAAACTCAATCAACATAAAATAGTCTAGGGGTATTTTAAAAAGCACATGGTGACAACGCTTCTAAAAATATCCTTGGAACTTTCGTGGCATTGTTCACGGACGTTGATGCCCTGCGCACTTTTAAAATTTTGTAAATCTTTCTCTAGAGCTTTCTAGTTGACAATGTGGTTTTACAGTTTTATTTGATTACCACAAGCTGTGAAGGAAAGTATTTTTATAAAGCTCGTTATAATTCCATTTAATTATAGTGTAGAAAACTGAGATTTGCTTAGATTGTACAACCAGGAATTAAACCAAGGCTATCTAACCCTAAAGCTTGTTTCTTTTCCTTTTTATTTTTTTTCTACAACATAACAGAAGTAATCTGTAAATTTTTACATTAGGAAATAAATTTGTTAAAGTTAGCGTTCCTATATTGAACAATTATGGATAAAATGTTTTTATTTCCAATTCTATGATGAAGGAAACTTGCCCTCTACCAATGAAACTTGCCCCTCAGGGCTAGTAGAAGAATTTTCAGTGATAAGAAAATTCAATTTGCCTTAAAAAATCATGTACAGATTACTTCTATATAAGAGCAACTTATTCTTAGTAAAATTCTTAGTAAAAATAAATACAAGTATAGATTATTTCTATCATAAGAGAAATCTATCCTTAGTAAAATTCATACTAAAAATAAATTGAAGATTTTTTCTGATAATTAAACTAACAAATGCTCACTGAGAAAAAATGGAAAACACAGTAAAAGAAAAAAAAAATAAAGCAAAGAATGATTACATTTTGTAAAGATGAGTATAATAATTATCCTGATTTGATCATCAGATATTGTACAAAAGTATTGATATTCAACTCTGTACTCCACGAATATGTATAATAAATTATATTTCAATAAAAAAAGAAAATAAATAAAAATCACCTTGAGTTATAACCCCATCACTGTTATTTTGTTATCTTGTGTGTTTTTGAAAACATGTAACAGGATACCCAGGATGAAATCTGAAACTCAGCTCACAGTCTTTGAAATCTCGGGGGACAGGAAAGAGTTGGAAGAATTGTAAATTCAAAGCAGAGCAATCACTATCAAAAGAGTTGGAGACTCACTTAGGGCCAACTATTCCTTCTTTGCTGGACAGATGACTGTGGAAGTTCTGTTTTGTCATTCATTGATAAAGCAAATACATACTCGGGTACCATCTAACATCTTTGTTAAAAACCAGAACCATTAATCCAAGTGTAGATTGTTTATAAAAAGTAGCTAAATGCTTTGTTTGGTAATGTAAATTGCTGGGTATGGTTTAGTGAGAACTGCTCTGCAGACTATATTGTTTCTTTTGGGTGAAACATTCCCTTTCTGATAATGCATTCGAACTTCAATTTTGTGAGATGTGTTGTGTTCTTCTCTGGCCTGAGGCTCACATAGGCACTCAGAAGATGAGGCTCAAGAGGCTGTGCAGCCGAATCTTCTAGCTCTTTGTGGTCTACTCATACAGAACACATAGAGGATACACTTTATGAATTGTCTTTAGCTGGATTCTAAAATGAGGTTAAGTCAACTTGACTTGAAATATGTGCACCTTGTTTCTATCTAAACAAAGCCCTGATATCTGTGACTGCTATATGCATTTTTGACCCTAAAAAGCCACTATTTGTTCATTACAATTTCATTTACAGGAGCTCTTGTAAAAGAAGGGCATTTTCCATACTGCTAACTTCTGACAATCTGGTTTTGGCTATCGCTTTAAGGTAAGGTATATGGGCCTGATCTTTAACTGTTACTGGTAAAGAATCAGGGCAAAAAGACAAGGAGATCAGACTGAGAAATGCATATTGTACCAGTGTGTTCTAATGTGACATCTGCAATCTTGCAGAAAGGTTAGGATTCCAAAACTGTATCCTTTGTCCTGACAATTTTACTCCTACATATATACTCAACAGAAATGCATACATGCGTTCACCAAAAGACTTGTGCAAGAACACTTATAGCAGTGTTATTCATAAGAACCAAAAACTGGAAACAAATGTCGTGAAACAGCAGAATGGATAAATTGTTTATATTCACAAAATGGAATACTACATAGTAATGACAGAGAATGAATTACAGCTACTCCCAACAACATGGATGGATTCCTTAACACACCATGAATAAAAGACGATATATATAATTATACAATGTATGATTCCATCTATATCAAATTTTAAAACAGGAATAAGTAATCTTAGGGTGTTAAAAGGGGAAAGGGAGCAGGAGAGAGCATGTGGGGGTTCCAGGAATATTGCTATTTTTCTATTTCTTGACCTGGGTGATGATTATATTTTCATTTTGTGATAATTCATTAACGTGCACACTTAACATTGGTGTACTTCTCTGTATGTGTTATTACAGTTCAATAAAGAAGTTTAAAATCAAGGCCCACTACCTACCCAGCAAAGGGTAACGCTCATTTCTGTTGCAGATGAGGTATGCCATACCAAACATGCTGAAGAGAAGAAAAAAAGGAAAGATGTTATATTCAAAACAGAGAAATATTGATAGCAAAACTGACTAGTTCTTAGTTCCCAGAAAGCCTCCTTTTCAATCTCTAACAAGATTCTATCCCCTGACTCAAGGGTTGCAAACGCCAAGAAGAAGAGAGAAGAGAATTTCTCACTTGGTAAAAGAGAGCCCAAACAACTTATACAGCAGCTATTACCACTGCACCAGACACGTTGTTCAATAAATGCTTGTTAAGTCTGCATTGGTAGAACAGCCCCTTTCTGGGAGACCAGACACCCAATATAGAACCCAATAGACTTGGATTTGGTGCAGAGTCTCACACCTGGAAAGATTCCATCGATTGCTCAAACGATAATAGCTCACCTTTGCTGAGCACGTGCTGTGTGTCTGGCACAGTTCCAAGTGCTCTACACATAAGAGGGTACTTCAAAACATTCATGGAAAAATTTGTATTATCCTTCAATTCTATTTTTTCATGAACGTTTTGAAGTACTCTTGTATCATTTCCTCTATTCCTGACAAAAACATTATCAAGAAGTGATACTATTATGTCCATTTTACAAATGAGGAAATATAGGCACAGAGAGTTTAACTTGCCTGAGATCCCATGGCTAGCAGTGACACAGGATACTGACATGCTCTAAACCAAAGCCAGCGTTCAGACGCTTGCCCACAACATAATACTGCCTCTTGAAGGAGACGTTTAATCAGAATGAATTATTCCCTTGTCTGTACTACCATAGTACTTTGTTATGCTTCTCTTATAGCACATATCGAAGTCTCCCACGTACTACAGCTGATTTTGAATATGTTGGTCTTCTCCATTAGAATATAAATTTTCAGGGATAGGAACCAGGCCCTGTTTACATCTGTATGTGTATTTCTACAACCTTTTATCTGCAGAGAGGGTGTAGAAAAATCATGAAGAGTTCAGGCTTTGGGATCAGATGGTTCTGGGTCTGTGTGTTAGATGGATTTCATTAATGGCTCCACTTCTTCACCCCTACTTGTACCTACGCCCTTTGTTAAGTAACTTGGCAGTGTCTTCTTGCTCTGGGCTCAGCCTTGTGAATGCTTTGGCCAATGGGTTGCCAGTAATCATGAGACAAGGAAAAGGCTTGAAAAATCCTTGTGCATTGGGCCTGCTCTCTCACTCCTCTCATATTGCCACAACGACATACTTGATGGAGGATGAGACACGTAGAGCCAAACTGCCCCAGTTACCTCAGCAGAGGCCATCCTGGATTGATCAACAACACACTGAAGGCCCAGGCATGTGAATAGCTAAGGCAAGATCAGCCAAATCCAGCCAAGATCAACTGAACCCCACATATTCATGAGATAAATAAATGTTTATTGTTGCATACCACTGAGGTTTTATGGTTGCCTGTAATACCACATTATTGTAGTGATTTGAATCTTGGCTCCATTACTTACTAAAGATATGACCATGGACAAGCCATTTAATATCTTTGAGCCTCAGTGTTTAAATTTATAAAATAGACTTAATAATAGTTTCTACCTCATACAGTCAATATTAAGAATAAACTGTATATTTTGAGATAAAGCACCTAAAATTTAAGTGCTCATTATTATCATTATTCATCCATTTATTCAAACAGTGTTTTATTGATAACCTATGTATGCCAAGCACAATGCTAAGCCCCAGGAATACAAACGTGAATAAAAAAGACTGCTTGAACTAATTGCAGCCTGGTTCTGTTATCTGACTCTTTAGGACCTAGATTCTAGCTTGCTAATATAAAGAGTAATTTTATTTACTATTACTTATTATTTATTTCCATACTATTTATTCACCCATCCACTCATTTATTCATCATTATTGAAGGTCTTATTGTGCACCAAGTGCTGGGGACATGAGAATGTACAAGAAATAATCGGGATCCTCAAAGAACTCACAGTGTGATAAGTGAAAAGCATAACACATCAATAATTGTGATACAGTGTGATGTGCGTTCTAATACAGCCATGTGCTGTAGAGTCACACGAGGGAGTTACACTATCTGAGCTGGGATGGAGTAGTTCCAGAGACACCTTCATAGAGGAGTAGATCTTTGAGCTAGATTTCAAAAACTGACTGTGGTTTTCCCAACAGACCAGGGGTGGGGTGGGTGCTGATGAGGACAATCCACTTAGATTATTATCATATGTATATTTTCATTCTCATCCACAGCTCCTGGCTTATTCTACCTTTTCCCTGCCTTTCTGTCTCAGAGTTGGCCATAAAAAAATTCTCTGACCTACCTTATCTGATTGTAGACCATATGATCCCCATGCCCAAGAGGAAGAAATGCTGCACAGGGAGGTCAGGAAGAATCTGAACAAACAGGCCTTGGTGGTTTTGCCCACACAGTATTAGATCATACCCTTTTTGTCCAGTTACATTTCTACACGGTTGTCCATGCTTCGATCATACCTATGTAATGAAGCTTCTGTAAAAACCCAAGAGCACAGGGTTTAAGGAGCTTCCAGATAGCTGAACAGGTAGAGGTTCCTGGAGTGTGATGCTCCTGGTGAGGGCATGGAAGCTCCAAGCCCCTTCCCCCATACCTCGCCCTGTGCATCTCTTCATCTGTATCCTTTGTGATATCCTTTATACTAAACTGGTAAGCGTGTTTCCCTGAGTTCTGTGAGCCACTCTAGCAAACTAACTGAACCCAAGGAGGGAGTTGTAAGAATCCTAATTTATAGCCAGTTGGTCAGAAGCACAGGTGAAACAAGTTGAGGCTTATGTCTGGCATCTCAAGTGGGGGACAGTCTTGTGGGACTGAGCCCCACTGTGGGATATGACATTATCTCCAGGTAGATAGTATCAGAATTGAATTGGAGGGCACTTAGCTGGTGCCTGCTGGAAAATTGCTTGCTTAATGTGTGGGAGGAAACCCCACACATGTGGTCACAGATGTCAGTCTTCTGTGTTGATTGTTGCTAAGACTGCAGGAAAAATGCACTTCGGTGTGTGTTTTTTCCACTAGCACAACACCCCAGAAGAGGGGGCAAAGAAGGAGATGAGGTTGGAAAGGCAGTTGGTATCTTGTATGTCATTGCAAGGAATTTGAACATTATCATGGAAATACTTGGAAGCCATTGAAGAATTTTTAGTTCCATAGTAACACCCACACGTCTAAGTTGGGCTTTTGGGAAATTTCACTTAAGACCTAGAGGAGGAATGATATCTTTTATTCTTTTAACTCTAGCAATACCTGGACACACAGTTGGCATAATCAGTAAATATTTAGTGGTTGGGGATTGGGCCTATCTGGGTGCAAATACATACTCAACTAGGGGGATTTTCTGTTCTGTTTGCACAACCTTTGAAGAATCACTCTTGGCTTCTCAGACCTGAGGGAAGAATGGTATCTTCCACCATGCTGCAATATGTGTAGGATGGAAGAAAGATGAAGGATTTTGAAGTCTGGATCTTGGTCTGGGAAAGAATAGATTTCAATTTCATCAATTGTCTTCAAATCTCAAATGAGTGACTGATTGCTTTGCTATCATAATTTCCCAACTTCTTTACCAAAAATGCTGCCAAATCAATGCCCCACACTCACACTTTCTCATTAAGGCCCAAACACTGATAGATTGGTCCAGAATCTCCAACACCTTTCATAACTTTCTTCGGAAGCTCTTTAAAAAAGTAGGCTGGTAGGTTGCTGCCATTGTAGGTAACAGAGTCACAGGTCACGATTCCTGGGTAGTACATCATCATCCTGGCAGCTATGTTGACTTTTTGACCAATGACTAAAACAGAAAAGAGAAAGTCAGAGAGAGGGAAAAAACAGCCATTGAACTGAATGTAATCCTGTCCCCAAATGGCATTTTACCTTTTACTCCCTTCACCTCTTATGAATGACACACAAATCTAGCCTTCAACTAAGTACATTCAGCCAATGGCTATTTAAAAATATATGCAGAAAGTTAATTCAATTAGCCTTTAGCAAAATTTCTACCTCACCTGGGAGGCCAAGAGGATGATCTGCTCAGGGATGGAAGGGCCTTGAATATGGAGAGGATTCTGAAAGTGGGATGGCCACAGGCCTGTGGGCTCGCAGAGAAGGTATAGCTGGTTTTCTGCTACAAGGTGGACAAGGACAAGCTTGGGCCTGGGGTGCGGATCCCCAAATGAGACACAAAATTGTGTCTATGCTCTTGTGAATGAACCTTCATTTGCTGATTTCCTAAGAGTGAGTAAATGAGATTGGAAGGATTTGCATGGAGGATTGATTTAGGAGATTTTAAAGAGGCAATACACTGTACAGAGTGCACAGACTCTGAAGCCAGACTGTGTAGGTTTGAACCCCCTCACTACCTTCCAACTACTATGTGCAAATTACCTGGGCAAATTACTTTAATTCTTCACTCCTCAGTTTCCTGATCTATAAAACAGGGATGATAATAGTAACTATCTCAGAGAGTAGTTGCAGTGGACTGAATTATGTCCTCCCAAAACTCATTGAAACTTGAATTGTGTCCCTCAAGTTTTAAGTATTAGAAACTTAGCCCCCACTGTGACTGTTAACAGGGTGGGAAATCCGATTATGGTAATCAAAAGGTGGAGCCTTGAAGAAGTGATTGGATTGTAGAACTGTGCAGTAGTGAATGGATTAAAATTGGTGGTCGGGGCGTGGCTCTGAGGGCTTTATTTATTTATTTATTTATTTATTTTTAAAAGATGACGGGTAAGGGGATCTCAACCCTTGGCTTGGTGTTGTCAGCACCACACTCTCCCAAGTGAGCCATGGGCCAGCCCGGCTCTGAGGGCTTTAAAAAATAGGAGAGTCTCTTTCTTGCTCTCTCTTTGCTTTCTCTCTGCTTCCACCATCTTGCAATGTGAGACCCCTGGATCACTGCTGCCACCACCAGATGGACTTTGGACTTCCCAGCCTCAGAAACGATAAGCAATAAATGTCATTTTTCTTTATTAAATCACCCAGGTTCAGGTATTTTGTTATAAGCAACATAAACAGACTAATACGGTAGTTTTTGAAGATTAATGAGTGAATACATGTTGAGCACTTTGAACAGTAACTGGCTGCCAGAGAGCCCTCAATCGATATTACTACTAATCAGATATTAAATATTTCACTTCGACATACAGTTGAATATTTCTGATCAAGATATTCTTTTTTCTTTTCTACTTTTTTTCTTACTTTTTACTATGGAGAAATTTGGCCATACAATAAAGCATAGCATCATGAATTTCCGTATATCCATCACCCTATCCCAACAACCAATCCTGCCCCATCCTCACCCCCATCTACCCCACAGCCTGTATTATTTTGAAGAAAATCTCAAACATTGTGTCATTTCAGACATAACTATTTCAGTATTTTAGGTTTATTCAGTATTTTAGAAGTATTATTGCTGACCATATTGAACCCTAATAGGATTGAAGAGGGAAGTAACGGTAAGAGTCATGAAATCTGCAGATAATGCTGACTTATTACTACTCTCTTTTGAGAGTAGCGTTATTTTTCAGTAATGCCAACATGCATAATTTTTAATAAGCAGTACTAATGTATTCCAGGAATTAAGAGGAATAACAGTTTAATGTTAACAGGAGATTATTACAGAAGCCCCTCATGCCCACTGCTACCCGCCAATGACTACATATTTTTTACACTCATGCAGAGTACTTTGCAAGCACTGAGCTGTTGATGGGCAAAGCCACACAGCTTGGTTCCATCTGGAAGACTGTAAACTTTCTGAGGGTGGTGCCACGTCTCACTCATTTCCGTGCTTGCTCCCACATGGCCCAGTGGCAAGGCACTGTGTTTGCTGAAAGAAAATGGAGATGATCCAGCTGAGCACACCTGTGTACTCGTGCCTCACAGTGTGTCCCACGATCCCACAGAAGACAATCCCGCTGGCAACGCCGATGGACACAGTGCTGGGAGGGAAGAGATAAGGATAGTGAGCATAGAGAAAGTGTGTTGGGGGGAAGAATTTTCAATAAATATTTATCTCCCCTCTGTAATTAGTTTAGGGCAATTGTACATGGCCTGGAGATATGAAGAAGGGACAGTTTGTGACACAGAACTAAGTTCTCAAAAAAATAAATAAACAAATAAATAAATAAGAAGTAAATTCTCAGGTCTTCTTTCCTCTTGCATGCGTGTACCCCCTCCCATAGTCTTTAAATGGGTCAGAGGCCACTGGGTGGGATCAGGGTCAACACTCACCGGATTTTGTAAACCTGAGAACAGAAATCAAATATGTCCACAGCACTTTCCAAAGCATGAGTGACCTCATTGGGCGCCTTTTCTCCAGGAAAACCAAAGACACAGAGGAAGGAACAGCCCTGTGAGGGAGAATCAGCAAGCAGGGCTGGTGAGCTTCAGACTGGACCAGACAGGAGGCCCGCCAGAGGGCTGAGACCATATCCACTGTCTGAATGAGATTTGATCATAATTTCTCTCACACCTATTGTATTTTTAGTAAACTTCACATAACTACTACTGCATCGTCAACAGTAGGGATTGAGCCCTTGGGAAGGGCTTGCTTTTGCTCCAGAGATCGTGAACTGTGCTGAGCTGTTTGTGTGCACTCTTTTGTCTACTTTCTCCTGTAGCCAAGGTCTTGCATTGCAAGGTGCTAAGTTTAAGTCTAAAAAGCAACACAGAGTAGTGGGAAAGGCATCAGCTCTGGAATCAGAAAATTTGTGTTTTCAGGCCACTTCCCAATTGCAGAAACTTGGTTAAGTCAATTACAGTCTATGAACTTCAATTTATCATTCTGAAAATGGATATAATATAAATATGCCAAGGTTTTTGTGGCTACTAAAAGGATTAATGTTATATATATTTTAAAGAGACTTTGTAAACCATGAAGTATTTTTTCTGATATTGTTTTTATTCTTAGGAATAAAGATTTAAGCTGGGAGTGGGTTTTCTTGGCATGAAGCTAATTGTTCAAGCAAAGATTAAACTAAAGATTGGCATTCTTAGTGACTTAAAAATGACCTCAGTCAGATGCTGTTGTCTGAATCAGATTTCATTATGATTTCTCTCACACACATTTTATTTTCAGTAAACTTCATATAACTTCTAGTGCATTAACAACAGTAGGACTTGAAAAGGGCCTAATAAATAAAGGGTGATTGGTTAAATTTTTGAGTCTATATGTGTTATATCCTGATGAAATGGAAAAACAACAATAACAACAACAACACTGAAATACCTCAATTTCTTCAATCCTCTCCAAAAAGAATTTGATCAAGTGTCAGATTCTAAAAGGGGCTGGGCTATGTCTTGACATGAGAGAGGAAACCCTGTTTCCAGGTTTATATAAAAACTCTATGGAGGGCAACCCCTTTGGGGGCACCAGTGTGTTTGCTTTGCCCCCAAATTTTGTGACTTGGCACAGCAAGCATTTGGCTCACTCTGGCAATGAGAATAGCAGCACTCACTTACTGAGTGTTGACTGTGAGATAGGTATTGCAACTATCATACATATTATCTATGTATGATAGTTGCAAGATAAGGACTAAGGACTTCATACATATTATCTAAAACGTTCAACAATCATCTGATGCAAATACCATCCCCATTCAAAGAGGGATAAACCAAGGCTCAGAGAAGTTCAATGACTTACTAAGGTCACACAGCTAGGGATTGTTGGAGCCATGTCTGCAAGACACTACAGACTGTTCTCATAGAGTTTATGCTCTTTTCTTAAGATACTCATGAGTGAGTATCGAAGAAAGTACTGGAGGGCACCAAGCTGGAAGTAATCGCTCCCCCGGAACTCTCGCAGCACACTGTTCATTTTTCTCATGTAGAATTTGCGCTTCCAACAATTTTAGTTGTTTGGCAGTATGTGTGAGCTACTCATCTTTGCTGCCCAGCCCTAGCTTTCAGTCTTCTACGACATGAATTCATTGAATTAGTGAGTGAGTGGATGTGGGGCAGGAATCAAGTGCTGAGATGGGGAATCATTTCTTACTAACACTTCCATGGTCATTTGTTTATCACATCGTTTTTCTCTGAACTGACTAAGAACAGATTGAAAACACTGGGAGCTGGAGCCCACTGCCCGCAAAGGATGGAAATGAGAGGGGAACTGAAGGTGTGATATGGCAAGCTTCCGGGGTGGGAGGGCTACTAGACACCTGACCTAAAATCCCTGGGAAATACAATACAGTTCGGGCTAGAGACATATGTATAGTGCATAGACTGGGAAGGCAGACTACCTGGGTTTGAACCCAGTCCCCACTTACTAGCTGGATGATCATGAGCAAAACCCACTCTTGCCTTGGCTTGGTACCCTCATCTCTACCTCAGCATCCCCATCCATAAAATGGGGATAATAACAAGAGCACCTACTGCTAAGAGAAGTCATGAGGATGAAACAAGTCAACGTATGTAAAGTGTTGAGGACAATGCCTGGTGCATAGTAAGTGCCATGCCCCCAATTTAAGCTGTTATAATTATAAGCAAAGACTGATCTTTCTAGGCTAAATTTCTGGTGTCTATTCCCTTCATCTCACCAGTGTGCTGGTCGATGGATGCTAACCTCAAACTGTTGGTAGGTTCCCATCCCTGAGTTCACATTTACCTTGTCAAACATGAAGACTTTATTGATTTGGCCTCGGAAGACCTTTAGGACAGAGTTGATGTGCACACAGGCATCCTGGATGGCAGGGCCTATGACTTCTGCTTTATTTTGCTCTTTGAAGATCAGGTTCACAAACACAATTGTCACTGGGCGAAGTTCAGACAAATAACCCCGAAGCTGTTTGTCATCAATCTGCAAGGTGGAGAGCAGCTTTCCTTAGCACGTGTCCTTGGCAGGATCTTTCTTCCTGACACCACCCCCACCCCGCTACCAGAAATCATCACCAGAAGAAAAGTAGCCTTTTGAGATTCTCTGGGGAAGCCAAAGTTAACAGTACATGTGAGGTACAACATGGCAGAGCCAGCCCACCGGAAGTCGAGCAGATGGAAACGGGATGCACTTTATCAAAATCTCTTTCAAAGGGAACTTATATACTTTCATTTTGGTTGGCAACCATTCCATTAGCACAACTGCAGGCTCCCTCATGCCAATATGAGACAGCACCGTAAGAGAAAGAATTACTGTTCCTCTTGGCTCTCTTATTTTTACAGTTTAGGGGGAAAAAATGGCATGCTATGTAATTCAACCTTATATTTTCATAGCCTGGTACTTCTGGAACATTGTCACATGTTATCCCACTCTATCTTCAAATGAAATAAAATCATTATTATTGTCCCCATTTTACTGATTAGTAATAGACATGGAGAAGAAACACAAGTTCCCAAGGCCACATGGGAGACAGTAGCAAACTAGAACCCAAATCTCCAGACTCGTAGTTCAACATTTCATCTAGGACACGCTCCTGCCTTTCTGGGGTGGCATGTGTCATTTGGCTCCCCTGTTCTCTCCAAGCCTATCCACAATAAGCACAGGGAAAAGAAAGGAGAGTGTTCCCAAATTATCCCTGCCAATCATCATCCCTGAATTTTGTTAAATTAAGTGCACAGCAAACCAGATGGGAGGAAATCATTGCATTTTCTTCCCCAAATAGCACAGAAACATTAGATTCTCTACTGACAATGCGAAGCATATGCTAGACGAAGGAGAGAATTGGTATAGGGAATAATGCAGCCACGCTTCCTAACTGCCCAGGATAGTCCTGGTTTCATGTAATTTTAATCTTTTCATTAAAGGTGATTTAATAATTTCTGACTGACCAATGTAATGATTTTCTCTGATTTTTCAAATAAATTCATTCACAAATTTAAAAATTATTGTTTCAGACCATGTGTTCTGAGTTTTGGCTTAAAAGACAAACAGGACCACAGTATCTCTAAGGACCTCCATTCTTTAGGTGCAGGGCAGGCCTTGGTAAAGTTATTGAAGGTTTGGCTTTTGCCTCCTTCAGCCCCTTTAGCTGTATCTCTTACCTGGTGTTCATTCTTCCTATCCACAATTTCCCCAGTGACTCACAGAGTCCATCTTATATCCCATTCCTGTAGACCTTGCTCTCAGATGGCTGCAGCTAAAGAAGCACAATTTACTATATCTCTTGAGAACAGAAGGGGGAACAGAGGGTGACTTTCTTGAGCTTCAAAAACCTTGAAGAGTCAAACAATTGCAGGCACTACAGGTAGTGTTTTTACATTGGGCTGAAGATGGAAGGGTGCATTCTGACACCTCCTCAACCCACACTAGGAAGGCCACTGCCCACTGGTCAGGCCTGCCTTACAAAGATTTCCTGCAGGACACAACTGCATTTTGAAGGGATTAAGTACTAAAACAGGCATACGTTAGGGGGGTGCATAGCCTGTGCAAAAATTCTAGGGTTCACAAGGCCAGGGTTTAAATCCTAGCAATACTTCTTACTTTACAACCTCAGGGAAGTTCCTAGTATCCTTCAGGTCTCAGTTTTCTCATACATAAAATGGGGATAAAGAGATCTACCAAGGACTATGAAGAATAAATACATGAAATAGCAGAGTGACTAGCATGTGGTGAGTGGTAAGAGATATAATTCACATGGATTAATATATTTGAGAGAGCCCAGATCTAAGAAAACAAAAAGGGAAAATTTTGGAGGGTAGAGGTAATTTGGCGTATTCTAATCACCTGAATTGTTAAATCTCAAGACTTAAAATCTAATGCAAGTGACTTAGAGAAACAGTTTACCAATTCTCATTCACTTTTATCTTTCTCCTATGCAGCATATGGAAAGGGTGACTATATGTTCTTATATGCTTGCAACAGCTCCAGTTTGCCCAGTTATATAAGGCAACACAGTTCTAGTTTATGCCTGTGTAATTATGTTTAAAGCCCCCTTTAACTCTTAAAAGCATCCTTATTTGAACAATAAATTTTGTAGTCACCTACATGTAGAGAATGTCTTTTTATTTCAGTGGAACTTTTTACCAGCTCCCGGTTTTGTTTTTTTTTAATCTTTCCAGCTATCCAAGATACCCTAAACCCCAAAAGCCAATAAATTCAATTATGAAAATACCTGCTTCAAAATGATTTCCATCACAAACTTTTGTAGAGACAACTCCAGTTCAGGATCAGACTCCAGCATGCACGCCAGCCTCAGGAGGCCTAAGAGGGCCAGAAGGAGGGACAGACTCAGAAAGGGAGTCTTTGCTGTACGATGCTAGACAGAAGATCCTCCCAGTCCCCACTCCCCTGGGCACTGGTCCGCACAGTTCAGTCAGGAGACTCCGGGAAACCTAGTGGCCCAAAAGGGGCTGGCTGGTTAGCTAACTTGGGAGAGCATGGTAACACCAAGGTCAAGGGTTCAGATCCCTGAACTGGAACCGGCCAGCCACCAATACCCTCTCCATAAAACAAAACATAAAGGGCCAAAGGAAGCCTAAAGAGGTTGCGTGTTTCCCAAAATTTAGTTGCGTGTAGCTCAAAACCCCATTCTAATTGTCATCCTGCCTTGGAACTTGGGGAGATTTTTTGCCTCTGGGCTTGATCTACGACTATTGCCACAGGAGATCAGAACAGACAAATGATGAGATGACAATAGAGGCGGGTGGTGACAGATGAAGGGGGAGATAAGAGTTGAACCAGCAGCAGGAGTAAGATTCAGGAGACTGGATTCTGATCACAGGCTTGATAGCAACTCACTGTGTGGCCCTGGACAGGTCACGTCACTGCCCTGGTTGTCTCTTACTGCCTTGCCTGGGAAAAAAGCAGTTGGGCTCCACTATCTCTGTGGTTCCCTTCACTATAATGGTTGATAGTTCCATGCTCTAGCAGAGACTAAGAGATGGTAGGAATGAGCTCAAACAAATCAAAAAATAAGGGAGAGAGAAATGATGAGAGGTTTTCAGAAGGAAATAGGATGATACTGTGTAAAAAAGAGATGAAAAATAAAGACAGAATGTGAAAGGAATATACATTAATCAGCAAACTTAATTTTATTTATTTATTTTTTTTCCTTTTTGTCTTTTTTCGTGACCGGCAACGGATCGCAGGAATGTGAAAGGAATATACATTAATCAGCAAACTTAATTTTATTTATTTATTTTTTTTCCTTTTTGTCTTTTTTCGTGACCGGCAACGGATCACAACCCTCAGTGTCGTGCCCGTACCGGACCGGGACCGGCAACAGGATCGCAACCCTCGGTGTCGTGCCCGCACCTCGCTCAGCCAGTGAGCGGCCGGTCTGTATGTGGGATCCAAACCCTTGGCGGGAGCGCCGCCGCACTCCCAAGCGGCGCACTGTAGCAGTGTGCCACCGGGCCGGCCCCAGCAAATTTAATTTTAAAACTCTTTATTGGTCACCTAATCTACTCAAAACACCATGCTAGGTACTGTCTGGGAATAAAAAAGTAATAAGGAAACTCGGGCTTTTCCCTTGAAGCACATATTGTCTCATTGAATATTCAAGTGTATGTATGGAAAAGTTAAATAGAAAAATAAAAGTAGCTAGGTCAAATAAGCTAACAGATTATAAGGACCAGAGAGGAAGTAGTGACCAATGTGAGCTGAAAAAAGCTTCACAGGAGAAATAGGAATTTAACTGGTTTTTTGAATGATTTATGGTATTTTACTAAAAGAATTGAGGAGAGCATGCCTAGCAGAGCAAAACAAGTTGGCTAAAGGCAAAAAAGAACACAACCTGTTAAAGGACTGAAAAGACTCTGGCCTGGCTGGAGTCCCAGGTGTGCACTGGAAGTTAAGAAGAAATGACATTGGGCCGGCCTGTGGCTCACTCGGGAGAGTGCGGTGCTGATAATACCAAGGCCATGGGTTCGGATCCCATATAGGGATGGCCGGTTTGCTCACTGGGTGAGAGTGGTGCTGACAACACCAAGTCAAGGGTTAAGATCCCCTTATCGGTCATCTTTATTAAAAAAAAAAAAAAAAGAAGAAATGACATTGAACAGACAGTGGAGAAAGGCAAGGAGCTCAGGAATAAGGGAGGAGTCGTGAAGGCCTGGATCATTATGGTGGCAAAGGAAAGGAACTCAGCCTCTGAGTTCAACCACCTAGCCAATTATTCACTCAATCATGTCTATGTAATGAAATTCCAGTAAAAACTCTGGACATCTGAAGCTCAGGCAAGCTTTCCTGGTTGGCAGTCATACATCACTGTGCCAGGAGGGGGATGCTTCCTGAAGACACAGAAGCTTTGTGTTTGGGACTTTCCTAGGCTTCACCCTACATGTCGCTTTATTTGGCCGGTCTTGATTTGTATCCTTTATAATAAAACCATAACCATAAGTGTAGCAATTTCCTGAGTTCTGTAGTCATGTTAGCAAATTATTGAATCTGAGGGCATTGAGGGAATCCTTAAATTTGCAGGCAGTTGGTCAGAAATGAAGATGGTGTATGAATCCCAGAGGTTGCAGCTGGTGTCTGAAGTGAGAGGAGTCTTGTGGAGGACTCAACCTATGAAATCCTGCACTAACTCCATGTAATTAACATAAAAATTACATTGCAGTATTGCAGTGCTCAAAATGGAGATGGGATAGGGTTGAGCTCAAGTAGTGTCACTGGGCTTTCTCCTTCATCTCTGGAGCTTCTGGGGTTCTTGGGCTTTCCTGATCAATATTCCTACAGTCCCCCTGTCCCCGAACCTCCACCCTGTTACCTAGTGCAACCTACTATTGTAATATTCAAAATATTCAAGACCTGTAACTTAAATGATGAGGAAAATGGTTCAAAGATGTTTCTGAGGTTTCCAGTTTGGATGAAGAAACAGTTTTTAGGGAAGGACAAGTAGCTTCAAGTTTAGACATATTAGAGTTGGGTGCCTGGTTGATATCCAGTGGAGATGGCCCATAGGTGGTTTTTTAAAATGAATTCAGAATAAAAGTCTTGGCTGAGTTCTGGCAGTTAGGATCAGGACTTGGGTGAGGCAAGCAACTTGCAGGATCTTGACAGTGAGTGCCTCCTTAAATTTTGTACCCTAGCCTGCCTCACCCTAGTCACACAGAAGTTCAGCATGAATGAATGGTTCACCAAGAAGTCAGTAGGGAAGACTAGAAAGTCAAAAACTGACCCCTGAAGTCACCAACATTTAAGGAATGGAAAGGAAACCAAGCAAAAGACCCTGGAAATGGGTGTTTGGAGGGTTAAAAGCAGAACTAGGAAAGAAGAATATTTTTGAACTCAAGGGAAAAAGGAGAAGATAATGTATAGAAAAAGAGAGTAATCTAAGGCCAACCACCTAGGATGAGGCCTGAGAAGAGGTTACCTGGTTTGGTAAGTCAACAGTCATTGGTGGTCCTGACATACACAGTCTCAGCTGACATAAGGGGAGGAAGGTGAAAGCTAGATGTCAGGAGCACAAGACTGAAGAGTAGGTGAGCACATACCCCGAGGTGTGTGCAGTTGGCATTTATTGGGTGAATAAATAAATGAGGGGATAGAAAAACAGGTGCAAAGAAATGTACAGATTACTCTTCTGAGAAGTTTTGTTGGTGAAGGTCAGGAGGGGAAAGTAGAGTTCAGAGAAGCTTTCTTTTTTCTTCCACCGTGGGGAAGACTTACAAATGTTTGGAAGACAAGGGAAAAGAGTCAGTTCTTTGAGAGAGGTGGAGGGTGCGAGCAGGGCTGTGCTTAGAACCCCTGTCCTGGAAAGTGGGAAGTAGGTCCCCTGGGCACTGTGTTGAGGAGTCTGCGCTTGTAATGGAGCTGCTGGCAGTGGTATCAGACTCTTCTGACCACTGGTAAGGCAAAGGCTCTTGTCCACGGAGGGTACTTACTTTTGTCACTGCCAGAAGGATAATAATTCATGAAGGTCATACACTTCGTGAAAAATTCATCAAAGTTAAAAGTAGGGGGCAGTTTTAAGAAGTTAACCTAAATAAAATAAAGTGAGAAGTTTTTTATTATTGTGTGGGTTGTCTGATCCTTTGAAAGTAATTTCTCAGCGGAGAGTCAAGGAGTATGCTTTTGAATGTCTAGGATATGGTGAATAGTGATTAGCATCCTTAAACACCAAAGATCTTCAATTTATAAAATTGAAACTTTTTTTTTTTTAAAGATGACCAGTAAGAGGATCTTAACCCTTGACTTGGTGTTGTCAGCACCACGCTCTCTCAAGTGAGCCACGGGCCATCCCTATATAGGGATCCAAACCCGTGGCCTTGGTGTTATCAGCACCACGCTCTCTCAAGTGAGCCACGGGCCATCCCTATATAGGGATCCAAACCCGTGGCCTTGGTGTTATCAGCACCACGCTCTCCCAAGGGAGCCACGGGCCAGCCCTAAAATTGAAATTTTAAACTGACAATTTATGAAGTTTTTCCAATTATTCATTAAGATGTCAGTGTTCAGTGTATACACACAGCCAGCCATTTCAGGGAACTAGTCTTTATACTTTTCCACACTTAGAACTTTTTTTTCTGTTTTTTTTTTTTTCCTTCTTAATATTTTAATTCAGATAAAACCTGATTAAATTGTACACCGTTTCTTTCTTGTAAGTGTTAAAGGACAAAGGGGGCTAATGCCCAAAAAGGTATTAGAAACATCACCAGTGATAAGACATATTGAGATTATGAACCCCAGGATATGATAATACACTAAGAATAGTATAATCTTGTTTTTGTGGTATTCTTGCCCCCTAAAATGCATAAACTTAGTTCAATAATGAGAAAAACATTAGGCAAAACCAAATGGAGGCCATTTAACAAAATAACTGATCAACACTGTTCTTAAGTGTCAAGGTCATAAAAGACAAGAAAGACTGAAGAACTGTTACAGACTGCAGGAGACTAAATAAAAACAACAAAATGCAATGTGAGATCATGAATAGAATCCTTGGACACTGAACTAAGCACATTAGTGAAAAAACTGGTGAAATTCAAATAAAGTGTTTAATTAGTGAGTAGTATTGTACCAATGTCAGTTTCCTGGTTTTGACTATTGCACTCTGTCATGTAAGATGTTAACATTAGGGGAAGTTGGGTGAAGGATATACAGAAATTCTCTGCATTATTTTTATAACTTTTCTGTAAGTGTAACATTAGTTCAAAATTAAAACAATTTTTTTTTTCTTTTTTTTTAAAGATGACCGGTAAGGGGATCTCAACCCTTGGCTTGGTGTTGTCAGCACCACACTCAACCAGTGAGCAAACCGGCCATCCCTATATAGGATCCAAACCCGCGGCCTTGGTGTTATCAGCACCGCACTCTACCGAGTGAGCCACGGGCCGGCCCTAAAATTAAAACAATTTTTAAAGGTATAAAGAGTGACTGAAGACAGTGGGGAACAGGGTGTTGCTGTGAGCCAGTGAGGCCATGCAGCTGGGATGTGCACCACTGCGGGGACTGTGAATGAGGGCTGCTGGTGGAGAGGGTGTGGACTGACGCATCAGGGTGGGGAGACTTCCATCTTCACCAGCATCTACAGGGATTCTCTGTCTTCTCCTTTTTTCTGCCAAACAGTCCCATTCCTTGGACTCATTCAGCAGCACGGCTCTTCTCCCTTTTCATACCCTCAAAGTTCAGGTTCTCTAACTGGCCATTCCCCAAGGACGGTTCTGCTTGTAGTCAATTTCAACTTAACTATTATTTTCTACTAGGCAGAGCCACAGGAAAAGTCTTTCTCCTCTCACTAACCTTTGCTGTACTTACTCACCTCCAATCCTCACCTTCAGTGATTCTTCGCCCTGGCTTAGGATGTTACTGGGTAACAAAAGTGAAGGCCAATGGCAGTCCTCAAAACTACTCCCCTCTGCTCCCAGAGAATAGCCAGCAGACCCCTTTCCTGTTTCTCAAGGAAGGACATAGCCCCCCAAAAGAACCCAATACCCAAATTCCACATCCTTAGTTACCCACAAAGAGGCCTAATCATTTCCTTCTTGAGCTTACAAGCCTTGCTTCTCCCAGAGGAGTTGTTCTGGACTAAAGCCTCCCTAGCCTAACCCAGACTGACACAGTCCAGTCTCCAGCTCAGGAGCTTCAGGGAACCGGCCTTCCCAGTGGCTCTTCTGGCAGGGAGCCCCTGGCACAAACTAGCAGGGCTTACTGCAAGCAGCAGCATCACACCTACCTTAACTGCTCTCTGATCTGGAATCCTCTCAATTTCAATCATGCTCCGGTCACAAAGCTGCCAGCAGTTTGGTGACATAATGACATCATTCATCTGTGCCATGTTCTGTGCACGGCGCACATCATCCACCGCCTGGCCAATCACCAGAAAGTGGTTGCGTGTTTCGTCTCCAAAGACCAACACGGTGATGTGGCCGGCAGCCAGCCCTGGCAAGAAGGCAAGCAACAGGTTTGCACAAGAAGTTCTGGCTTATTCCCCAGCAGCACTAGTTCTTGGAAAAAAATTAGAATCTTGATGGGACTATACTAACTACCTCAGAGCAAAATTTCATTTCTAAAATTTTACATAAGAATCAGAGAATGCCTCTTCCAGGCCCAGGCCTTCCAAACTTCCTCTTCTTCCAAAGCTAGAAAGTTCAGCTACTAGTTTTTGCCTTTCTGTGACATATATCTCCCCAGATGGCTTTCTCAGCCCCAGAAGTTATTTTATGTTTTCTTCCATTTATTTATAGTTAAGGCAACAGAGAACAATATTAATAATTCCTATTTGGGGAGGATGTGTATTTTATCAGATATTGAGGCTTTAACTAAAAAGAAACCCTTAGGGTCAAATATCAGACAACAGGCAGGGTGGGGGGGAAATAGGCACTTGACAGTCCCATCCCCACAAGGATTTCTCTGTCTTCGAGTTGGGAGATGAAAGCTTTGATGCCCAAGCAACAGAAGACAGATGTTGTAAAATATGACAGGTACACAAAACATATATATAAATGAACTAAGAGTGACACACAGTTCTTTTCATGACTATAATATAATCAAAGTTTGTTTGTATCTTTGGTCTCTGCTGTGCTGATTTATCAATGCTGACTTTCCCTGATACGATATATGGTTTGTTTTCCATGTGAAACACACTGATGCTTAGATTCACTAAAAGAAAAGGTACTGGAAGCTACCTCTCTAGCAGCCAATTGGCATGCCCATGAGGGGGTTGGGTTCTCAGCATGCTTGAAGGATAATACATCAGATTCCCTGTGTGTTCACTTGGAAAAAATATTCAATATTATAAAGACTTTGGTGTTTTTTCAACAAAATATGCAACTTACTTGGAAATTTTAAATAACATCAAAAGGGAGCATAGGTTAAAGAAGGTTGAGAAACAGTTAATTGGATAACCTCTGATGATCCCATCAGCTCTGATACTTGAGAATTATAAATTTTACAAAGTTTGGTTAGGCAGAAGCTAACACCAGCAGCACCAGCAGTAGCTCTTGTTATTACTCATTTACACCTCTCAGAATCTCATTCCTCATGATGCCTGTACCTCAGGACTGTGGGGAATGACATAATGTGTTATGTCTCCAATGCAAGATGGAAATGTGTATGATTGTTAACTATATTACACGTAGGGCCTTAAGAAGCCCTATATAGAGGTGGAGATGTGTTGTAGGCTGACCTGTTAAGCTTTCCTTGCACATCATTCTTAGGAAGAGGGGGATAACAGTCTCATGTCACTGCTGAATCTACGTAATGACAGGCTACTCTCTATTGTACTTAATTTACACAACTTGACAAGCAGCAGCAAGATAAAAAATAACAGCAACAGTAGTAATAAAGACTATTTTGTTGAGTGGTTACTATGTGCCAAGTATTTACTAACTAATTTGCCTTTTTGTAATAGCCTATTAGGTAGATATAATGATTGGCCCAAATTCTCTTAACTGGTAAGTGAGGGAGCCAAAATTCACATTCTGGTCAGCCTCACTCCCAAGATCAAGGCATGGGCTGAGCTGCCATGGTCCACCATTTTCTCTTTGGGAAAGAGGTACCCCAGGAGTCAGGCCCATATCCAAACTGCTATAGCATCTGCTCTTTCTCAAATGCTTACCTATCTTGACTTGGACATCTGGGCTTTCTTCAGACTCCTGTGTCTTAAACAATCCATGGATCTCCAGGCTACATTTAATTACCACCGTGATAATGTTTTTCAGCTGCTTTCGTTCTACCTTCCACAGGGCTAACAGCGCATCACCTTTAAGAGAGAGACACACTGGGGGCTTTTGACTGGCCCTGGGGGTCAGTCTATTTGGTATAAGATCTGTGCAGAGACTTACAAATATTCTTCAACCCAGCTCTCGGCCACTGTTTTCTCTGAGATGCCTCCTTTGTCACAGCACAGGCACCTCAGCACTCTTTTCTTATCCCTCCCATCTCAGTAAGCCTCCATACCTGCAAATTTTAGGATGTCTCCTCCAAAAATCAACACTTCTGAGAAAAAAGAAATAATAAATTAAGTCAAACTCTGAGTCCTTAAAGCTAGTAAAATGAATTCATTCTTCATTAGTAGAATAAAAACTGGGTCAAGAGCACAGCAATTCAGAGAATAGACTTATACTAAAGAAGTCATTTCAGACAAGTCACTTAACCGGTTTGGGTTAAACCCATTTTTCCTCAACTGTAGAGTGAGTACAGTGAACCAGATTATGTCTATGCTCCATTTCTGTGAATGGGAAAAGTCAGGAAAGAGGGGAGTGAGGTTTCTGAGAGACCTGAGAACAGCTGCCCTCCTCCCACAAATCAGTGGAATGCTTTTAATTGATCAATATATGTTTTAGGCTGGGGCTTGAGTGAGCATGGGTAGGTAGATGAGTGACAGGACTCCACATGAACTTCAAGTCAGGAAGTGCAGCAATCACAACCATAGTCAACTTGGGTTTTGCTTATTATTGACTGATGTTTTGTTTATCTAAACTTTGTAGTACAAATGGTCATTTTTTTCTTAGTTATGCATCATCACAAATTTGTTGAGCACTGTATTAGTCTGTATCTGTTGCTTATAACAGAATACCTGAAACTTGGTAATTTGTAAAGAAATTAAATTTATTCCTTACAGTTTCTGAGGTTGGGAAGTCCAAGGTCAGGGAACACATCTGGTGAGGACCTTCTTCTACAGCGATGCAGGGTATTACGTGGTAAATGGGCTGAGCAAGAGAGCTAACCTGCTCACTCACTCTCCTTATAACGCCATCAGAACCACACCCATGAGCACCCATTAAACCATCAACTTATTACTCCATGAATGGTTCAATCCATTCACTAGGGCACCGTCCTCACAATCTCATTACCTCTTAAAGCCCTCATCTTTCAAATACCATAACTGGATTTTCCCACCCTCAACACTATTACAATGGAGATCAAGCTTCAATGAGTTTTGGGAGGATAGTCAATCCACAGCAAGCACCTATTGTGCCAAGTGGATGCAAAAAGGAATTAAACATAACTTCTTCTTTTAAGGACCATTAAATTTTGTCTGGTGGGTAACATTAAGGTATTACCAGGGAACTTAGAGCCTGATAAAGCACTAGACCTAGAGTTTACCTTAACAGAGTAAATCCTTTTCTTCATGAATAGTTTAAATTAACAATGCAAAGAAGATGTCAGGCTGAGGTTGAAAAGGGGGCCCCCTTTTCAGTTAGCTGTAGGTGCTTCAGAATCCATCATCAGGAGACAAATTACTGACACGGTAACTATAAATCCTTCTCATCTATTCATTCAAGAAACTTTTACTATGTTTACTGACATACTGATGCTAGCTTTTAAAAATATTTGAATATATTGAATATAACTAAAAGCATTACTACTACAGTTCTTTTAAAAGGAGTCTGTAATTCAGCCCTTTAACTAACATGAAACACCCTTTCCCTCGGGTAGTCTGTATTATATTCCTTCAGTTGTACTGTATCATGTTTCAAAAGAGACTGGTTTCATACACATTTCATCAGGAAAATGAAGAGTGCTAAGCAATTGCACTCTGTTAAGTTTTATACCCAACAAATACGGAAAAAACAATGGGTTGAAATATTCTCAAGCCAGAAACCTATGGGAACACTTACTCTCCACTATGGCACTTATGTAGTAGTTGAGGATCTCCACCAACTGCTCAGCCCCTCGGTCCATGTACATGGATGTGCTGAACTTCTCAGTCATTGCAGTAAAACCTGTAATAAAGGTGCAGCTGGTTTCTCTGACTGTTTGGAGGAACCAAACAGAGTCGGTAGAGGACTGTGCTGGAGCATTGGCTTTTAAGAACTGGAGACGTTTCTTCTTAATGATATTTGTGGCTTGTCAAGGGTCGGACATGCAGCTTCCTCTACCTATGTTTATTATTTTAAGGATCAGAGAAAGGCTCCAGATATCTCTTCCTTACAAATTCTCAACTTGTACAGTGATGACTGTAGTTCCTTTAACTGGGAATAAAACTTTCATTTCATGATAATGAAAACACTCACATTTCAAACACTTGGTCAGTTTTGACCGGGATGTGTTTGGGCGTTGGGGGGTTGAGTCAGTGAAGTTGGAGCAGGGAATAGAGCCTGAAGTCCCAGGCGTGCGACTTGGGCATCTTAAAGATGTAACCATGATTGGAAGTGCTGGGTAAGGGAAGATGAGAGAGAGCAGGTACACAGGTTATCCCTCCCTCCTGTGTTCTCAGTGGAGAATATCTGCTGTCACAGCACAGGAGCTCAAAAATGGCGTCCCCACCCTGCAATCAATCAGCTCTGCATGTGAATTCTGATGGCAGCCCATTGTTCACACACATTAAACAAATATCCCTTTTGCACTTGCCTGAAATATCAACAAACATTAGGACTCCATCAAAATAATCCAAACAGGGCCGCTCTGGAGAGAAATCGCCATAGACAATGAGGTCTGGTAAATGAGCTGCTATTCTGACAATGGCCCGGTCCTGTGATTTTTCTCCTCCAGTGTTCATGTTCAAAGCAAATGTTCAAGACTTTATGGTGACAGGAAGTAGTCCCCAGATAGCCTTCTAGAAAGAAAAGTTGGGAATGAAGGACATCTGGCATGCACATTTACTGACTTTCCTATTTCTTTTTCTCTATTTGCTTTGTTCTAACCTGTGGTCTGCTTATTTAGGTGATTGGTGATAATGCCAGAGTTGTTGAGTCACACTTCAAGAGGAAATAAAAAAAAAAAAATTCAATAGTACAAAGTGGGCTAGACGATTAGCTCAGTTGGTTAGAGCATGGCCTCGTAACACCAAGGTCAAGGGTTCAGATCCCCTTACTGGCCAACCATCAAAAAAATAAAATTTAATTAAAAAAAAAAAAAAGCAGAAGGGCCAATTTTCTGAGCAGAGGAAAAACCCTCATAGACTGGACCTACAACCCTGAACAGCTGTGACATAAATGAGCCCCGTTACAAAGAGGATGGGGTGAAAGAGGGTAGCCTAATGGGGCCATACATTTTCATGAATGGGGACACCCTCATTGTGCAAGTCCTGGTAGAGGGGGCCAGTAACACTCTTCGCTCAGGCCATACTCCTTTCCCCTCTCTCCTCAGATTTCCTTTTCCTCTAGCCCACCCTTTTGGTCTCTCATCTTTTCACCCTTTTTTTGGGAAAAAAAAAAAGTGTACATGTGAGTCTATGTGTGTAAATATTTATATGTGGGTGACTATTAGAGTAAAGCATTATATATAAGAAAGAGATCAAGTGTACTAAGGAATAATGTTAAATATACAGAGGGAAAGATTTCAAAGCAGGAAAGAGTGTGTGTGTGTGTGTGACACCTGGAATGATAGAAGGCCTTAAGTAATAAGTGAGAGGAAGTGTTGAAATTTCAATTTGCTGGGCCGGCCTGTGGCTCACTCGGTAGAGTACGGTGCTGATAACACCAAGGCCGCGGGTTCAGATCCTATATGGGGATGGCTGGTTTGCTCACTAGCTGAGCGTGGTGCTGACAACACCAAGCCAAGGGTTGAGATCCCCTTACCGGTCATCTTTAAAAAAAAAAAAAAAAAGAAATTTCAATTTGCTGACCAGTTCTGAAAAAACTAGGATTTCCTAAGGCCTTCCTTTAGCTGCTGAGGCAGATTAAATGCTCATGCCTAAATGTTGTAAAAATCATGCTCTAACAGCCTGAACAGTAATAGCAACTCCAATTTCTTCAGAGCAATCCAAGTTCCTGTAACAGGCGATACAGAAAATAAGAGAATTTTTTTTTTTAAAGGAACTGTTGTTTTGGTTTAATTCTGACCAGCTGGGCGGAAATGGTTAGTAATTCCAACCAGACATAGGTCATACTGGGATGCATAAGAGTTAGAAGGAAAAAGTGTGTCAGTCACATATATTCCTTAGATTTAAGGAAAACATTCTTTTTTAAAGTCAGGGAAAACATGAGTATACTTAACAGATAAACTTAAAATGTATAGACATCTCTAAAAATGAGTACTAAGGGCCGGCCCGGTGGCGTACTGCTACAGTGTGCCGCTTGGGAGCGCGGCGGCGCTCCCGCCGAGGGTTCAGATCCCACATACAGACCGGCTGCTCACTGGCTGAGCGAGGTGCGGACGCAACACCGAGGGTTGCAATCCCGTTGCCGGTCCCGGTCCGGTATGGGCGCAACACTGAGGGTTGCGATCCGTTGCCGGTCACGAAAAAAGACAAAAAGGAAAAAAATAAATAAATAAATAATAAATAAAAATGAGTACTAAACATTAGATACTGGATAACTTTTTAAAGGAAAAGCTCTGGTGAACTCAAATATTAGGAAGTGAACAAAAATAGAAGGAGAAGCATATAACTAAGGTTAATAAAAAGCATAACATTAAACACTCAATAAAAACTATAGCATGTAACAAGAAGTCAATAGAAAACAAATAAATCAAGTAAATAATTTCAGATAGTGAATTTGATAAGTGTTATATGAACTTTTAAGAAGGGTGTGAGAAAACTGAATGCCCAGAATGAGCTGAGACTTAAGAAAAATGCTAAAGTTAGGACAACCTAGATAGCTTTTTAGGCTTTGTTGAAAGCGAAGAAATTAATAAAAGATGAATAAGGACAAAGCTTAAATATGGTGTACTACACAACTCTTCTTTTCTTTCTGTCTTCTCCACCATAGAGAATTAAAAAGTATAACAAATACTGCTAAGGAAGAATTGAAATCCAAGATAAGTAGTGATAAAGCACCCAGTCATTTAAAATAAATAGCCAGCCCCGGACAACTTATATAGACAATTCTGAAAGAACCAACAGAAATAATGACAGTAATCTCAAAAAATAATGGAGAACAAGAGATGATTTGGAAAACTGCAGATGTGCACATTCTCTTCTGGATTTCAAAAGGTGAGGCTACCTGTGAATTCCAGAAAGCACAGACTGGTAAACATGGTGTATCAGTCAAGGTAATCTAGGTTATACTTTATGAATGAATTTCTTGTTCATTTCCTGCTCATACTATATGTCCATTGTGGGTTAGCTGGGACTGTCCTCTACCTTCACTTTGGGATTTGGACTGGGACATTTTCAATGGGAAAGGCAGTGGGAAAGAGGATGCAGTGGGATTGACTCATTCTCCTCCCAGAAGTGACATATTTCACTTCTACTTATGACATTGACCAAAGCAAGTTACAAGAAAACACCTACTATCAAGCAGGCAGTGCAGTGCAATCCTACCATTGTGCAACAGGAGAGAGAGTTGAAATATTTGTGAGCAGCCTCAATGGTTATACAGATCAGCAAGAGGTGATTATAATGAGTCAAATGGATACAAAGCCAAGAGCAAGCTACCTGTTTTTCTTTTTTAAAAGGGTTATTAAAATTTTAAATCAAGAGAATGCTATAGACAACGTATATCTTGACTTTAACAAGGCATTTGACCAAATTTCTTATGTCCTTGTGGGTATAGTATAAAATTATAGGAATGATGAAAATATAGTTAGCTGGTTAACAATCACATCTAAGGGATATTGATTAGTGTTCCAGTGTCAACTCAGAGGGAAGCCTCCAGGGAATGCTAGAGGATTTTGATAAAAAGATAATTGGAAGTAAAGCCATTATGGAGAACAGCATGGCAGTTCCTCAAAAAATTAAAAATAGAACTGCCAGGTGATCTAGCAATCCCAGTTCTACATATATATCCAAAGGAATGAAATTAGTATGTCAAGATAGATCTGCACTCTTGTGTTCACTGCAGAACTTTTCACAATAGCCAAGATAAGGAAATCAACCTAAGTGCCCATGGAGAAACAAATGTATAGAAAATATGGTGCATGTACACACACACACACACACACAAAGGGATACTATTCAGCTTTAAAATAGAAGAAAATCCTGTCATCTATGACAGCATAGATGAACCTAGCGGACATTTTGGTGAGTGAAATGAGCTAGACACAAAGACAAACACTGCATAATCTCACATATGTATGGAATCTGGGAAAGTCAACTCATGGAAGCAGAGAGTGGAATGGTGGTTGCCAGGGGCTGGGACTGGGGTGGGGGAATGAGAAGATGTTGGTCAAAGGATACAAAGTTTCAGTTAGACAAGATGAGTAAGTTCTGGAGATTTTGCATACAGCATGGCGACTATAGTTAATAATGGATTGTATACTTCAAAATGGCTAAGAGAGTAGACCTTAAATGTTTTCACCACAAAAAAATAAGCATGTGAGGTGATGGATATGTTAATTAGCTTGCTTTAATAATTTCACAATGTATTCATATAACAAAATATCACATAGTACCCTGTAAATATGCAGTTTTTATTTGTCAATTCTACCTCAATAAAGCTGGGGGGGAAATAAATAAAATTTTAAAATATTTAATTGGAGAGAGAGCTATTGCTCTAAATGACAGAACCAGGGTCTTAAAATATGTTACTAACTGAAATAACAATGAAATTTAAGAAGAATAAATGCAAAGTGCTGTGTTTAGAGTTAAATCAAGTGTATAAGCACATGGTGTGAAAAACTACATTTACTCCAAGTTAATGCTATCTTTCAGGAATCTTTTATTGAAACATAACATACATGCAGAAAAATGCACAAATCTTAACTGTACAGCCTGAATTATTATAAAATAAACAAATCCACATAAGACCCACTCATATCAAGAAAGATAACATTATCAACACTTCAGAAAGCCCTTCTAATGCCATTTCCCAGTCATTCTCCCACTATTCTCCCCAAAGGGAACCTCTCTCTTGGTTTCTAACACCATAAATCACCTTTACCAGTTTTTTTTAACTTTATGTAAATAGAATCATACAATACCATTTTTTTCTTAAATGTTTGTAATATTTATCCATGTTGTTATGTGTACAAGAATTGGTCTTTATCAGTGCTGTATGGTATACCATCACCTGATCACACCACAAAGTATTTATGCATTCTACTATTGACATGTGGGTTGTTCCAATTTTAGGCTATTAGGAATAATGCCACTAAGAATATTCTTGAATATGTGTTTTGGTGACCATATGTATGCTTTTCTCTTGGGTATATACCTAGAAATAGAATTGCTGGGTCATAAGATACATACATATTGAACTTTAGTAGATCTTGCCAATGGTTTTCCAAAGTGGTGGCTTGAATTTACACTCCCACAAGCAAGATATGAGAGTTAAGTTGCTGTGTATCCCACCCAACACTTGCTATTTTCAGTCTTTTTAAGTTTTAGCCATCTTGGTACAGAAGTGCTGGTATCTGTGGTTTTGTGTTTCCCTGGTGGTACTAATGAAATTAAGCACATTTTCATATGTTTGTTGTCCATTTGTATGCAATGCAATCTTAAGGTACATAAGCAGTGTTCAAATCTGATCCAGAGGATTGGGTTTGGTCTGCCCACTTTATTTCAAGTTTGTTGACTATGGAACACAAGGAATGATGGGAGAGATTGGAAATTAGTCAGGAGATGATGATGTTTGGGTTAAAATGGTAGTTTTCTTCAAATATTTGGAATGAAATGTG